ATAGATGAATTATTCTTCTTCTACACATTGGTTTAAATGCAATAGACTCGTTATGCATAAAATAAGTAATATGGAGCATCAGAAGTCACATTCGTGATAATTCTCATTCTTGGTGGCATTATTCCAAATCGTTAAATAGGTCATAATCCTTTAAGTCGATCTACTTTAAGGTATGTGACAATATGTGCTCAGTCAATCCGTGCTGAGACTTGTAATGAAGAACGAGCACTTAAACGTAGGCTGCGATGATGAAAATGCAAAAGGCGCTTTTAAAGTTTTGGGAGATTCTGGCTGAAATTGTTTCTGAGATTGTTTACTTGCTCAAACAATAATTTTTCCAATAATACAGTTAAAAGCTAATAAAATTTAATTTTCACTCTTTTTTAAGCAAAATAAATATTTTACGAAAGAAATGTCGTTAAAATGCATTCATAAATTAAATCATTTAATCATAAAGAAAATCGCTTGGATGTGAAAGTATTTAATTATCGATAATTATCTATTATCATTCTATTATAATTATTCTATTTCAATGCCAATTTTAATTATTCTAGAGTTTATTCTAATTAACTGGGAATAAATGAAAATATTGAAAAATTATTAAAACTTAAAACTTTCCTTTAATGAAGCAAAATTTATTCGTCGACCCATAGATTTCACCAAATCCCCCAAAAAATGGACAGTTAAACATATCATATTTATAAAAAATCATTTTAGTTAAATTGCCAAACAATTTTATGTTTCGAATCATCAAATGATAATAATTGGAATATTGTAATGATATGATATAGCAAAAGGAAATAATACCAAAAGACTGGAGTAAAACTATTGTTTCCAAATCCTAAGAAAGGTGACAGGATGTACAATTATCGAGGAATCAGCCTACTAGACATCTCCGGAAAAATTTCCGCTTCCCTTTTCCTAAATAACTCATGGCAACACGAGATAGCAGAATGCGTCCCCATGAGCAAGCTGGATTCAGACCCTGACGCTTGTACTGACCAGATATTTATAAAGAATGCTGGAGCATCGCTTCAAATGCCAGCAGACCATCGCTTCAAATGCCAGCAGACCATCGTTTTATTTGCTTTATCGATTTTGCAGTTGCTTTCGATTCGATTGATAAAGCAGCTCTGGAAAGTGATAAGATGTGGCGATATTCCAGAAAAGATTCGGCTCATAGAGGCATTTTATATGTCTTTCAGCATATCCTGGCAAATGTCTGAATATAGAAAACGACTCCTTCGGAATTGGTGTCCGTCAAGGTTGTGTTCTTTTCCCTATAATATTGAATTATGCGATAGACTGCGATAGAAATAATGAGCATCGCTCGTCGGCACTCAAGACAGGTGCAAGTCAGTCCAGAGCATAGCTTTAAGACCTTGAATATGCTGATGTTGTACTGTTGAAAGTTATAATAAAATGCATATTAATAAAATGCATCATGTTAAATAATGTGTCAACAATTGCAGCGAGAATTGGACTCAAAATTAATAAAACGAATAAATGAAACGAAAATGTTTTCGTCTTATATATAAAATTCTGATAAAATACTTATTTTTTCTTATCAATTCTTGCAGGTTGAGGAAGTGTTCAACTTTAAATACCTTAGATTCACTCTAATCCCAAATGGCCAAGTAAAGGATGAAATTGCAACGACAGATAGAAATATATTTTTCCAGTTGAAGAAATCTTTATGGAACTATCGCCATCACCATAAAGACGAAAATCCAAGTCTATATAGCTGCAATTCTTTCGATCATGCTATATTGCTGCGAAACATGGCCAATGAGAGTAGAAGATATTAAGAAGCTAGAAGCAGCTTTTGACCACTCATATCTGAGATATATTTTACGGATCCGCCGAGCGGATAAAACTGCACATATTCATCTTCGCTCAAATACTACCTGTATTAATAATGTTACCACGTAGCGCATCTTTCGCTGGTTAGGACTCGTTCTCCATCGTCCACCACAGGAGATATTTATAAGAAGAATTTATATTCAAATTTATACAAACGTCTTGGTCTTCTAAGAGCTTTAATCCTAATTGTCTATTTCAGGACGACTTTTCGATTGAACTAAAAAATGAATTCGCCTATAAAAGCTTTATTTTTGTTATAGAACTGTTTTATAAAATTAATTAGGCTTTCATAATTTTGAATAAATTTACTAGCGCTAGATTATCACAGTTTTCGGTCAGAAGTATGGATGTGTTCCAAGTCTTTAGTGCGATTAAAGAATATATAAGAATAAGAATAATTAGATTTTTACAGAATTAATTGGCATCAGAAAAATCATTTGAAATAACTACGAAGCTAGGAATCTATAATTTATTTTTTAAACAGCAATAATTTTAGAAATGTTAACTATTAAAGTTAAGAAAGTTAAGAAAGAAAAAATTTTACGAAGGATTTACTAAGTGTAAGATTCTAAGATTCCATTAAGCTTAGCCTGTTTAAAAATTTACTCATTCGCCGAATCGGGGAATTAGATAATATGCATTAAATTAGGGCTAAATACGATGATGAAATTGAAAGTACGAAAGTTCACTAAGCAAGCTTAAATTTTATGTTCTTGCGCTAGAGTAGATGGGCTCCAAGTCTTTAGTGCGATTAAAGAAGCCGAGAAAAGTTAGAAAATTTAAAATAATTTTTACTAATTAGCATTAATTTTCAGATTAAATTAACCCGAACAATCTACAATTGTTGTTAGAAGCAAAAGACAAGTGGCAACATTTTTCATGCAGATAATATTTATTCATGAATAAATACATATGCAAAGTTTTCTTGCCTACATGAAAGCAAAAAAAATCTATTTACCAAATTTAAGAAGGCTATTGAATAGTCTGATAGATTTCAGTAATTTGATAGACACCCATACCTGCCGATACGCTGTACAGTTTTCCCCCGGACTATTTCGATGTCGTACAGTTTAAGTAAAGCATGCTTCATGCTCTCGCGCTACAGTAGCACAATTTTCGGTCAGAAGTATAGAAGGATCCTCATTCACTGATTTCATGAAAATTTAATCGAATTCATTTATAAATTATTATTTTGTTTGAAACAACAAATATTTTTATGATAATAATATTATTGTGTATTATAAGATAAAAAACAATAAAATTAAATATTAATCCTAATATTTTCAAATAATTAAAAAATAATTTGATTGATGAAATTAATAATCATTTCAATGGTTTTCTATACAATTTTTATTTTTATAATGATATACAATTTTTCCGAAAATTTTTGAGGTTTTCCAATTTTTGGATTTAATATTGGATGAAACCGGTAGTTATTTTACAGCTATTTTTCGTTTGTTTATGTTAGATTTTTCACAATAAACGATATATGAAATATTAAAAGGTTTTTTTTAATAATTTAAATAATTATTAAAATTAAATTAAATTAAGGAATTGATAAAATTGCCTTCAAAAAATATCAATAAAAAATTTATAAAAAATATCGAATTTTAATCGAATTTTTGAAATTATAATAGTTTTAATTATTATAATTTTTTAAAATTGCTATAATTCTATACAATTTAATCGTTTTTGAAAAAGGAATAAATAATTTTGTTAAATAATCTGCATTAAAAAAAAAAAATTAAGCATTTAAATTCCATAAATTGATAAAATTATAATCTTTTTAGGTTAGTTTCTGCTTTTTTCACAGTCAAATGCAAATTTTAACCTTAAAAATTTTAAAATTTTTATGAAAAAATTTACACCATTTTAATCGAAATGAGTTATGCTTATAACAATTCTTGAATTGCTTTAATGATGAAATTAAATCCATCGAAATTTACTTGAATACTTTTTCATACATGTAACACTGGTTTATAGTTGCAAAAAAGAATATATTTGGCACAACAAATATCAACAGCAACCATGCAATCCGCGAAGGTGATATGTTTCACTTACATGTACAAACAGAAATATAAAACAAATTTATAAAATGAGATTCCAAATATTCAACAGATTAGCCAAATATTCAACAGAATAATGGTATAATAGACTAAGAGAGCACAAACAAGTTAAGGCAATATCAAAACAACGCTTGATGCGCTCAATAATGTGTATCGTATTTGCCTTTGCATATCTTGGGACAAATATAAAAATAATGCAAACAAATTATGTAAACGGGCATTTTAAAATTATATCTCAATTAAACCCAGTGTTTAGGCGCTTTTTCACCATGTTCTCTACCATTTAGCGCAACAGCTTCCCTTTATATTCGGTGATAATAAGCTAATAATAAACTGCTGAACAATCAACAGTAGCCCAATCAAGAGACTCAATTAACTTCCTTCCAACTGCCTTATTAATTAGGAAGTAAAAATATAGAAGCTAAACAGTACATATATATATATTTATTATAAGTATATTAGTACTCTTGCTGAACACACTATCTATTCAATTCATTTACCTGCTATAACCGAGCTGCAACAGTTGCATTAACAAGAAAGACCATAAACAAAAAAAAATAAACAAATTATTTCGCTAAATTTAATATATTCCTAGAAAAAATCTATTTCTAAATCTAAAAAATCTAAATCTATAAGAAAAGTATATTTGAAATATCAAATATTTATTCTGAAAGTTGGAACAAAATTTGACAAAAAAATATTGAAAGATACCATTTATATTCACAATGGAAATCACAAAATACAATTTTTTCATTACCATTCTCGAAAATTTAGGCATTAAATTCAAATAAATAGCCAATAATTGCAAAAATAGGTAGAAAGAGTTTGCTCGAATCTATATTTTTAGATTAGTAGATATAAAAAAAGCAAATAAACCTTACTTACTACTTCTATGTTACTTCTTTAGCATGAAAGTTGTTGTTGATTGTCAGCGACATGGAATTTTCACCAAATATTTCGCTTATTTCTGCAAATAAAATCTTTCTGTTATAGAAAATTTGGTCCACTTTGCTGCAAAACAATTTAAAAGACAATGCACATTTACTGCACATTTGTAATAAATTTGTAAATTTATGGCATCTCAAACCCAAAAAACAAAAAAATGGAAGTAATACAAACAAGCAGACCTTCAACGACGGCATGAAAACCGAAATGAAGATAACACAAGTAGCTGAGATGTAAAATAAAAATTGCAGCTGCTAATATGAGCTTATGCAGTTTTTCCCTTGTTTTCGAACATAAATATAAACTCTAAATTTTCAACAAATTATAGGCAGAAAGTCTAATTAATCGCTTCTAACTTCAAGAAAACTCTATATTTAAGGTGATTATATCTATTTCATTCATTAAATATATTAAATATATTTAATTAAGCTATATTTTTTCGAAAATTCATAAGCAAACTTACAACGCGAAGTGCCGAAGGTACACAGAATTGAAACATCAAAAAATAAAAAAACAAATGCGAATGTGAAGGATGAAAAACAGTCGTTAAAAATATCACAATACAATGGCTGAACAATGAATAACCCTGAAACTTTTTTCTATTTTTTTTAAAAAATTTTAAAGGTTCAAAATTTCAGAAAAAGGTACACAGCGGTTCCAATTTCAATGGGGAATTTTGGATGAAAAAGTGTTGATGATAAAACAATTTACATAACTTAACTTTTACATTACATAACTTTTTATTTAATGAAATCAAGAGGAGAAAAAAATTCGAAACGGACGAATGTAAAATATAATTTTAAAAAACAAAACTAAGGATCACAAATGACACTAACGCAGAGAGAAAAAATATGAATAGATGATACATCCGAGTTATATATGTAGCATAAAGATGATAAAATCAGTGAAAAGAAAATCCATGCGCTAAAACAAGAAAACATCGCAGTGCCAATCAAAGTACCATCTTCGACGGTAAATCTAGGACAAAAAACTTTTAAATAAACTTAAACATAAATTATTTAAAAACTTTTAAATAATTTGTTGTTTTCAACTTTAAGCAAATGCGTAGTTTTTAGTGATGCGAATGGGAAGGATGAAAAAGCGGGCTAAAGCATGGCCATTCTTGAAGACAAAGAAGATAAAGGTACCAACAGGGCGAGAATCACTGAATTAATTCTTGGTCCAAATGGTGCACTTATCTTTTGCATGGAATACTTTTTGTAGAATATGGATTGGTTTCATGAACAAATGGATGATGAAGATTATTATTTGTTTGTTTGGTGCACGAAATTCACTTTTAATGATAATTAAATGGTAAGTTTTACACCTATTAATGAATAATTCTTTGACACAGAAACTCATTGTAACGAAACGAGATCAGCAAAGGATAACAGCTCTATCCGAAATAATATTTTTTAATAATACTTCTAGTACAATAAATCAATTCTAGTACAATAAAAAAAGACCAACCCCGATTTTTTCATTGAAAAGAGTAGCAAAGCAACAAGTGTCAAAACAATCATTGATGGACCATACAAATCCAATGAAGCTGTCATTTGTGAAGGTTTTCTTGGAATAAGCGATTGAATTAGTCGATTTCGAACTTGTCGCGGTTCGACATCAAAATATGGTCGAAATAAATCAATACGACCATAAGTGTTGAATGTCTCCTTAACTTGCCGACTGCCAACTTCCCATATCTTAAATAAATATTTAAATTATCCTTTTTGCAAAAATATTATTCAATTTTTCAGATCAACCATTTTATCAATTTTGATAAGACCACCGCTATTAAAGATAGCAACAAAATTAGCGCTGTAACAATAATTTGCAAAATATTTGATAATCCAAAACAAAGAAAATCATGCAAAAAAAAATTTTTTGTGACATAAGAAACCATTTGTGAAATATTTGTTTGTTGCAATATTTTGGGCATTTTTTCTTCTTCCATTTTATCGCCAGTTAAATGCGTTGTTCGTTGCCGACTTGTCTTTTCTCGTTCTCCCATTCGATTTCTCTTCACGTTTAAAAAAAAAAGATGAAAAAACTATCAACGAGTCGTGAAAAAAGAAAAAGAAAGTAAAATATATCTCGAAAAAGAAATGAAAATTCTGAGCGAAGTATTCAATAAGTATTTAAGTATTCTAAGTAAAAAATTATTAACACGCTTAAATGATTAAAGTTAATTTATTACTTAAATTTAAGATTTATGTAAGAAATATATAAATGAGTTGTATGGACCGTTAGTGGTTCAGTGGTGGGATAACTGAACCGAGAAACGAAGCTTCCAATTCGGCCGCATTTCGTCGGCTGCAAAAACTGAGAACTCAGAACGAAAGTGGAATGGCTCAATGGATTGTTGCTCGATTCCACTCTCGGCTGTCCAAAAATCCGGCTGATGCTAGCCTGCTGACTCACCTGTATTCCAAATCACTAGGGGATTCCCTGGCATATTTGTCAAGCCAGTGGAACGAGTGTTACCAGTAAGGGTGAGGGCTCTTCAAAGAAAAATAAATTGCATGAAGTTGGCCAGCTGGCAACTCTTCGACAATATAATTTGAAAATACAATAAAACATAAGTAGGAATGTAACTATAAATAAAAGATATATCAATAAATGAAAATATAAAATAAAACTCGAACTTTCGCGAGAGAATAGCTCCATGGTTTGTTGCTCCTGGAACGCCCAATGCTAGTTAGAGGTGTCGTTGGAAAAAGATTTGGCGAGCCATGGACTCTCAAATGGTACCCTGGCGGAATTCAAGCCTATTATGAGAGGCCTAGTAAGCCTACTCGTCCAAGTTATTCTACAGATCTTAACCGAATGTGAAAAGAAGGAACTTAAGAAATTTGCAAAATGATAGAGCCGCTTAAAAACAATTTCTCTATTATGCGGCTCGCCTTTCCAGTTTCTTCACACGTCATTCACTGCATTTTAGTACATAAACATAAAAGGCCTACAGTACCAGAAGAAAATCGTTGAAACAACTATCTAAACTATTTTAGGCTCAAATTATAAACATATTCCAACATAGAAATAGTTAATTTCATATTTTTATTGATGCGAAGCAATTCCGCACACAATTCTCAAGGAAGATTATAGGACATACTGCGACAATTATCGAGGAATCAGCCTACTAGGCGGCGAAAATTTTTGCTTCCTTTTTATTCGATAGACTTATGGAAGTACGGTACAGCAGCATGCGCCCCATTCAAATTGGATTGGGACAGTTGACCAGATATTCACATTAAGAAGGGTGTTTGAACATCGCTTCAGATATTTGCAATCCACTGTCACGTGTTGACTTTACGGCCGCTTTTGATTCAATTGATAAAGTGGTACTTTGGAGGATGATGGAATGAGCGTCATCTTCCATGGTTAGAGCACGTTCTCCATCGTCCACCGGAAGAATTGACGCATATTTCGTTACTTGCTAAACCATGTGATGGGTTTCATCGAAAGCGAGATGGGTCAATGAAAACCTGGACTGATACGATCAGAAAAGATTTTGAACGTATAGGTGGATCAGCAACATATGGGCTTAGACGATGGAAAAAGGAATGGCTTCTATTACTGTCGGCGATAGCATCAGACTGCGGCTTGGAGCCTCTAGCCACTGTAGCCGTTGGACTAGCCTAATAAGTAATGGTGAGCTGTTAGAAGAAAAGAGATTTTTATTCTCTGTCAGGCTTAGGCCGATATTACCATAAAAAGAAAATGCCTTCCTCACCTCTTGTGGGTGGTCGTCAATCTCTGATCCTTTACCAGAAGCCCAGGAGGTTTGAGGGTTCTGCCATCGTTTTTTAGCTTCTAGCAATGTGTTCTTCTGGACGACTTTTTTAATAGACCTCACCATTACTGGCTCGCTTCACTGGTTTGTTGCATTGCCATGGAATCCTTTGCGATAGAAATACAGGTGAATTGCGAGCATCACTCGGATTTTTATGCAGGTTCACTCCTGCGGGGAATCGAATCTCAGCATCGGCGCTCCCAATAGAGTAACAACCCACTGAGCTATTCTATCCACAAATATATCTGCATATATGTTGTCTTCTCATACTGGTAAGGAAAATTCGTTAAATCATTAATTTGTGTTGCTTTAACTGTTGGATTAGAGAGGATTTTGGTCACATTGAATTCCTCTGGAAACTGCTGGTTTTATATTTTCTTACGGAGTTACAACGCTATTTCTCGCTTATATTTGTGCTTTGTCGTTTAAATACGTTGCGCTTTTCGTCCACACGTAACAATTCCGTCACTCGATGCAACATAGGCTTTTTTTTCGCTATCAAACCCACAATCCACAAGAAGAAAGAGCCGATATCTTCAATCGATCGAATATTTTTTGGTGAATTCTGGTCGCGGCATACGATATTACTGCTTTCGATTAGATTTTTTTAGAGTATTTTTTGAAAAATGTTCATATATAAATTTTTTGCTCCAATAAACCGAAACAATTCATAATAAAATTAATAAAAAATACTTTTAAAAAATCGAAACAAAAAAAATTTGATTTCAAATCTTATATCTTTTAAATGGTTATACTCAACGAATTCAGCGATTGTTTCGAAACAAATTCAAATTTCTCGTTTCAGGCGTATGAAATGACTATTTTCCATATTTATATTTCGCTTTCTGTCTTAATTATTTCCTTCTTCTATAATTAACTGTAAAATGAGCTTTTTCTGACGGAACGAATGGAAGCAGCAAATGGGAGGAACCGAAGCGATTGCTAATGACTGAATGTTGATCGAATAGCTCGGAAACGTCTAGCTGTAGCCAGCATAGCCAGCCTGACCTAACCTGAGTTGTTAGAAGAAGAAGGTTATCAGTGACCGCATAAGACAAAAATTACTAAGCAATTTTAACCTATGTTTAATAGATTGGTAAAAAAATGGCACTGGTCTGATATCATTCTGATACTTTGATGAGTTTACCATAATCTTCAACAGTCTTCAATGATTACAAATCAATAGTCAATGTGTTAATAGAAATCAATGTGTTATGTGTTAATAGATTTTAAAATTATACCAATCATCAATAGAATAAATAAATATTTAACGGTTAGTTAGCAACGAGAGAATAAAAGGAATTGAAATTTTAATAGTGGCATGGGCCGAAATTCAAAATCTGTTTGAATTAGATATTTCTCTACCCACCGGATTATCGGCTACTAGGCAGATTTTTGTCGCGTAACGACTTGGCAATATAAATGTGGATCATACTCAGTGCTACTCAGATTCTGAATAGATAGTTTGCTTTTGCCGTAACCCCAACATGGGTGCTTCGAAATAAGAAAATAACCGACTAAACCATTCTACTCCTAAAAAAATAAATTATCTTATGAAACTATTTTATCATACTTTCGAAAATGAAAAGATAGAGAAATTTATATTCCAACATCTTTTTTCTTTTGTTCATTTAAACCGTAAGATTTATATAAAATAGTAATATAACATTGTTTCGTCGCCTCATTAAAAAATATTTCAGAATTTTTCTTTAAACCAGTGACATCATCTTCTTTCAATTTCGTCGTTGTTCTTGAGAGATTTCTTTTATAATAATGGTGAATAAAGGTGAATGGTATGACGGTACTTATGTTGGCTACAATATAAAATTTCAGGTAAATTTTCTGGCATCATTATGATGCTTTGCTGAATTTAACAGTGATTTTCAGTGGACTTCAGTGATTAATGTTATTATGTTAATAGATTTTAAAATTATACCAATAAGCTTAAAAAGTATTTGCAAAATGTCTGCTGTTATATTATATTATGTATAAAATTTGAATCACATATTATATTAAAAATAGGGAAATGTTATTAATAAGTATTATCACAAATTTAAAAAATATCAGAAAAAGATGAAATAAATGAATGTTAAAATTATGTAAAAAATAAATTTTTTGGCCAAAAAAATTGACATAAATATTTAAAATGTAATGTCATAATAAATACTTTATTCGCCAATCTTTGTTATACATATCTAGTCGAAAACTTTACTGTTCGCTTAATGAATGGTTGAATCATCGTTGTGTCTCTTCGAACAATACTTTTTTCTTGAGATGACAGTATTATATGATCGACAATAAATTAGTCTACAAAATAATGCACCCAAAATGGTCACCAAATGTTCTGTGGTAAATTCGTTGTATTGTGGTGTATACGAACGGTAGCTATCACCATTTCAACAACGATCAGCAAAAAAATGCAAGTCGACCCTTTCTCAAACATTAAAATAAATAGTGAACTTTTAAAAAGAATTTTTTAATATTTGAAATTTTCATTATGCTAATTTTCTAAAGTAAATATGTGGCATAATTTATATTGGTGAAATCATAAGCATGTTGCTGATATTCTACTGGCATACACGAGCATAATCCATAGGATAATTATCGCAAGAAAAACACTATCGAATCTCAATAGCTTTAATTTCGGGAAAGTCTTATCGCAATAATCAAAAAAAAATTCATAATGGTATGAATTAGAAAGAAAATTTTATTCGACTTGTGCAGAATACTATGGCCTCAGGCGATTCGAGTCATAACTGATATTAAAAAACTATGCAGTGGTCCACCCATACTTCTGCTTTCTAGGTCTTCTCCTATTAGTCAGTGGAACGAGAGCAGTAGTGGTGAGTGGGATTAAAAATAATTTTAATTATCCTAAAATTCCGCGAAAATGCTATGAAAAAAATATTGCGCCTTTCAAAAATCCAGGCAATACTAATGATTTCCATCGTGTTTTATGTTTTATGTGGGATGTTTCATGAATAAAATTGGTCTATAACAATCTTGTTTGTGATCATATTTTGAGAAATTATAATTGATAATTGCCCAATGTAAAATAAAATATGAAGGAAAAGCAGTAGATGAAATAGTCGTATTAGTATGATTTACTTCGTTTGGATATAAAATACAAAAAAAAAAAACATATATATTGTTGGGCAATTATCTCACCGAAATATACTGAATAATCAAAATAATTGCCGAACGGTGAACAATCAGCAATTTTGATTATTTTTGGTGAAAATAATAGGTGGATTTTTGAAATGATACGAAGAAAAACAAGTCGTAAAAATCGACGAAACAGTGAAATTCAACAATTATTTTATAAAAATTTTCCCAATAATTTTCAGTTAGCAGAAACAACTGCTGTACAAAGGTTCTTCCATAAATTTACTCTCTTTAATTTAATTAATTTAATGTTTATTGATCACGCAAATGCCATAGTGCAAAATAGATTTGGAATATCATTTACTTTTAGATATTATTTTGTTAAAAATATTGCTAATTTTTTATTTTTTATTTCATAAACATTTTACTTATATATATGTATTTATTCATAAATTCTATCATTTATTTAGGCTGATATAATTGCTTTAAATAAAATAAATATTTTAGATATATTCAATATGACAGTTGGCCTACAGTAATCCTCCATTGTGTACAGTGATAGCTCAATGGGTTGTTGCCTTCATTTTGGAGCACCCATGTTGACGTTTTATTTCTAGTAGGCTGTTTTTAAAAAACCTAGGCAATACTAATAATTTCCATTGGTAAAGAATTCTTTGGCGAACTTTGCTTGGTACGATAAGCCAGCGGATTAAGCCTAACCAGAAAGGATAACCAGAAGAGCTCTTTAAAATGAAAAACCATTATTTATTTTTTTAGAATTTTATTTGCGCGGTTTAAAAATCGAATACAATCGACTCAATCTTTTCATTGTAATAATTATTTAACCTTATCTTCTAAAACGGTAGAAAAATATTTTTTTCCACTATTCGTATAAATCGTATAACGAAAGCTAAGTGAAGCCAAATCATAATATTTAAAAATTTTTATGAAAATGTTTCATTTGTTCCTTTCATGTGGAAATAATTCAAAATATCCATCTGCAATCATTTTTGATCATTCTCAATTGCGCAAACTGGTTCTTTTATCTAATAATCATTTTATTCCATTTTGTTCGTTGCTTATTATCGCATTTCCTAATCCATAACGAGTAATACCGATGATAAATATCAGTAAATATCAGTGTTCATGGGATTTCACTTTTCAAATTTAATAAGACCATTAACTAATTGATAATTCCCATTTCTAAAATGTATAATGATGATAAGGAAACGTATTAGGATTATCTTTTATCAATGTAAAACATTCTTTTCTTTTTGCAGATATTTCAAGAAATGGAACATAAGAGGTCAGTAATATTTTATTTTTCGATATATATATCTATACTATTTCAGTCCTTTTAACTACAACCACTTTCATGAAATTTGGATTGAATTATTTAAAAGCCATAAAAACTAATTTACGCTCAGGGAAAAATCTATTCGAATACTCAGTCTGCAGAAAATACATTTATTTTTCATGAAAGAAAGATCCATAATTAGGCAAAATTTTCCAATTTTAAGCCGAGTCTAATTTGATTCTTTACTTGGATTTTGTGGTATTTTTGCATATATTTTACAGACGAATTAGTGCGATCACAAAACTGGATCCAGAAACTTTGATCGAAATTCAAATTGATGAAGGTTAATGTTTGGTTAGTTGCATGAAATGTTAGCGATAGAGCATAAAAATATCGCTAAATTGAAAATTATTCAAATATTATTAGAAACACCAATATTTAGCATTAGTATAGGGGTGACCGACATATGTGTTGCTTCGATTGGGTACCATGAGTTCCATTCAAGTGAGTCACTAAAAATGGAATTCGAGTGGTGATAAGGTTCCAACTCTGCACTTCTAGTGAATATCAGTCAAAAAGATTTTAGAAAAGGATTATCTGGCACTGATAACTGCCATATTAATGTCTAAAAATAACTTTTGCGAATCTATGTCATTCATTTTGCTGAAATCGGATGCGACTTATCCTTCTGAGATACCTTGTAGTACCTTAAAAATTAATTTAAGGAAGCTACTAACTGAGGAAATTCTATATATATTTAGTGCATATGACTTTTTTAAAAATAATTTAGAAAATATTAGCAATGGAACTATAAGAGAGCTTGAATTTGTTTAATTTAATTTGCCGAACAATTATTATTAATTGAATATTTTTCCATAAAGGAGGTGAAGTGGATCATAGAAAGGATGAAGAAGGAAGTAAATGGAAGAAACGACGTTCATCTTCCTCAAATACACCTAAAATTTCTTCGGTTATGAATCATATCAATCTTTTCAAAGGCAAATTGTTTTTTTTCGTTGAAGTTATCGGCTAAAAATGTTAGCGAGTTTGAATAGCGTGTTTCTAATGCAAAACCATCATAAATCACTTTATCACTTTTATCACTTGGACTGAAAAGAAGAAAACTTTCATAAAAAGTGAAATCAGGATACTATCAGGAATCTGCATGTATTTCATTCTACAAGATATGGTGAAGACAAAACTTATTAACTGGTTAAACCAGCCAATATTAATTATGAATACAAATAAAAAGAACAATTTTTCGCTTATTTTTTGCCCTTCATTTCAAAGTATTAAAATATCGAAGTATCAAAATATTATTTCAAAGTATTAACAGGATAAGATGATAATATCATTTTTAGATGAAGATGGAATAGATCTTGAAGAAGGCCACGCAAGTTTTATAAGTGCTTATGTGACACCTGGACCGAAACAACGCGATATAAGTGAGCAAAAGAAGGTATCATTGGTTATCTAAGCAATTTTAAAGGGATCTCATTCATTTTTGCTTGATGATATACAAAAATTTGAATTTGGAAAATTTCGAAATGATAGAATTTAATAATTTTCATAAATTTCATTATTTTTTATTTTGGCAACGCCATAGTTGCTTTGTCTAAATTACTAGAATAAAATCTTTCCAGGTCGGTCGGTTTAATATTTAAGAATAACACATGCCACTCATTTTTATAATCTCTTATACAATTAGGCCACCTATATGCTGGAAATTTCTTTCTGCATTAACCAGAAGCTTGACTGATTATCATGCAAGTTTTAGTAGTCTTATTTTTAAATAAGATTAATATAACTGTGAATAATTTATTTTAAGGCAAACTTAGGAATGATGTTGGGAGTCTATCTGCCGACAATTCAACACATCCTGGGCGTAACGATGTTTATTCGATTATTTTGGGTTGTTGGTATTGCCGGTATACTGCATACTATACTTTTGCTTTTATGTTGCTGCTTATGTGTGAGTTTTTGATTCCTTCTTTTTTTAAATAAATGTTGGAGATATAAAATGAAATTAGCGATTTTTTTTCCAGACACTTCTTACAAGCATATCACTATCAGCTGTTGCAACAAATGGAGTAGTTGAAAGTGGTGGAGTTTATTTTATGATATCGCGCAATTTGGGAGCGGAATTCGGAAGTGCGGTTGGCATATTATTTTATTTAGCAAATACTGTTGCTGCTTCAATGTACCTTGTTGGTGGTGTCGAAGTTATGCTGGTAAATAGTTGAAACTTTGCAAAGAATTACTAAATTTACAACGGTTGAAATTAATAAACTGTGGGAAAGTTATATTTTTAAGCGAAGATTCGCTGTTTTTCTTACATACACATATGACAATAAATAAATATTGTAATAACATTAATAAAATTATAAAATTATTATCAAATAAATTTGAAATTTTAGCTATATATTTTCCCATCGATAACAATTGGTGGCCACGAAGCTCACAGTGAAACAGGTCAATACTCTTTCGAAAATTACCATTTTTTGATTCATCTTTACCGTTGCTGGCTGCAAAATTTTTTTCTTGTGGGAAATTTGATTTTAAGGCATTTGGGGAATGATGTCGCATAATTATCGCATATATGGCACTGCGTTTCTTCTGTTAGAAGCCACTATTGTTGCGATGGGTGTTCGATTCGTTCAACTTCTCGCACCAGTACGTATACATTTCCCTTTCTTATGTCAAATAATTGGTTAATTAACAATAGTAAATCTGACTTTTATTGAACTAGTAAAGCAATAATCAAACAATAATATTACCTCTTTTTTTATTTGCTCAATACGATTTAGAAATATGAAATTTCTTAATGAAGGAATAATTTAAGAGTCAAATTATTTAAAATCGTACATTCACTTAAATTTTGTTCTGCGATTTCTAACAGGTTTCCTTATTTTGTGTTATTCTATCAATTCTTGCATGTTTCGCTGGTGGAATAGAAAAGGCAATTCTCAAGAACGGCCAACAGTTAGTTTCATTCTTTTCAGTTATCTTGTTAAGGTGGTTTTAAGGTGTGTTAACCGCGAATTGACGCAATATTCACATTTCCAGTTATAATTATAGTTGGCCTCAAGTTTTTCAAATAATTTTGAAAAGAATTTGAAAAAAAAGGCATATTTTAAAATAACAATTTAAGTGTTTGTATGCTAAACGATCAATTACTGCAATCAAAAATTTTTTTCCCAGTCAATGAAGATATTTCAAAATTATGCAGTCGATGTGTTAAATCAGAAGAGTTTATTTTTTTAAAATTATTCAAATGGTTTTTGAATAATCTTAATCTTAAATGCTTTTTAAAAAAATTGATTTATTATTTTAAAAAAAATTTTTTATTTTACATTTGTGATGAATTAATGCCTAAAAATTATAATAGAATGTTAAAGTTCTTTAAATTTTTAAATTAAAAGTTAAATTAAAAATTATAAGTAATTTTTAAAAAAGAGTTTTATTAGCTAAAGTAATATAATTATAATATAATTAAAATTAATTAAAATTAATCGAATGAAATTAAAATATTAACGCAAATTTTAGGATATCCAATGACTTCTGCAATAGCACATCAGCATCTTTTTGCAGTCACTTTACAGCTGGAACATTATCATGCGTTAATGCTTTTCCTGGTATAAGTCCAAGTATATTGAAAGGTAAATTCCCTTGGGATTAGGATAAACCATTGATAATAAATTATCAAGTTAATTTGATGAAATTAAATCGAAATAAGTCCAAATAAGTCCAACAAGATAGAATGGTATAGTGAGTTGTTACTTTGGAAAGCCGATATTGGTTTGCTGGGTTTGACTGCTCGGCAGGAGTAAACATATATTTCAAAAACTCGACTAATGCTGGCAATCTTTACAGTCTATTTTTATCATTAAGTGACACCTCTGAAAAAAATTTGCCCAGTCTGATTAACTAGCGAAGTGAGTCAGAAATCATGAGCATCCTTGAAAAAAAACCTTAATATCTGTGCAAAATTCACATACTTGTGGTTTGTCGAAATTATTTAATATAAATATTATTAAGTTACTAAATTTTTAGAAAACCTTAATCCAATGTATATGGCGGCAGGCGAATCTTATCCAGGTGTACCTGCAGATGACACTGGTCTAGAAGTATCACAAGACTTTCGCACCAGTTTCTTCATTTTACTAGCCATCTATTTTCCTGCGGTAACAGGAATTATGACTGGGACGAATATGAGCGGTGCGTTATAATACTTGCAACATATTATTTGAATAGAACTACAAATTCGTAGTTAGATTAATTTTAACTACATTTAAGGCGACTTAAAGGATCCTCAAAAAACAATTCCACGCGGCACTATTGCCGCAACATTAACGACATCAGCTATATATTTTGCTTTGGCTATTCTTTTTGGTTCTTCAATAACAGGGCCAGTCTTACGAGACAAGTGAAATTTTATGCTTAAAAACTGAACTTGTTTCTTTTCGAATCTCTGCAGATCATATAGGCCACGCATAAACCGTCTCTTAATTAATTTCTTAATTTTTAGCTTCAGATCTTAAAAATACAATTCACTGCAGGTTTTAAGGTGAATTATAAATTTTATGACATTTCTTAAAACTATATAAAAATCGTGATAGATATGGCAGAAGCATTAACAGTTCAATGATTGTTGCATTGCTCTCGTGGCCCTCACATTGGGTCGTTGTTATTGGCTCATTTCTTTCTACGTTTGGTGCTGCTTTGCAATGCCTTTGCAGTTAGTTAATTCAAAATCTTTTCATTCATCAAGTGTTTTTATCAATAATTTATTACGTGCTCAATGAGTTGAACCAATAATATAAATCTTAGTGGCTCATGTTTTCTTACTTCGAGCTAAATCATACAAAAATAGTTATTGGTCTTTTTTAGGTGCTCCTCGTCTCCTTCAGTCAATAGCAAAGGATGATGTGATACCAGCACTTGCACCATTTGCCAAAGTTACCAAAAACAACGAACCACTGCTTGGGTATTACTTTTGATGCTAATAAACATATATTAAATGACCACAAAATTTTTTCATGAAAAAATGCTTCAATCGAAAAAAGAACTGAACCGAATTTTTCCAAAATCTTTAGGCTTTTATTTACGGCTCTCATTGCTGAAAGTGCGATCTTGCTTGGTGCAGTTGACTCTATTGCTGCAGTCTTGGATTTCTTTTTTCTTATGTGTTACGCTTTTGTGAATTTGATTTGCGCCTTACATTCTTTATTAGGTGCTCCGAATTGGAGACCACGTTTTCGTTACTACCACTGGTTTGATTTTTTTCTCAAATATCCGAATAATATATTTATTTGCATTCAAAACGCGTATTCATTGATGATCTGTTGTTAAATGTTAAAACCAAATAGTGCCAAAAGCTTGAAAAGATTTTTTCTAAAGGCGTTCAATATTTTATGCAAATTCGTTTCGCTGACTTATCGGATCAAACAAATCACTTTGCAACAGAAGTAAAAATGGGTTGAAAGCCAAATTTTTGAAGGCTTGTTCGCCGAAAATGCCGAAACTAAAGCTGCAACATCAATGCTGTGCAATTAGCTAGTCACTAAGCCATTATATCAAAAAGCCTGTGGAATCGATATCAAGGAAAGAAATATAGAGTTTAAGATAGTTCAGTTTCAGGTCTCTGTCTCTTATGGGAGCGTCTTTATGCTTCTTTATCATGTTCGCTTCGCAATGGCAATATGCATTAATATCAATTATTTTAACATTTGTTATCTACAAATATGTTGAATGGAAAGGGTGATTTTAAGTACCATTAAGTTTCGCATAAAATTCCGCTACTTCATTTCAAAAAATATGTTTAAATATGTTTAATTTTAAGGGCTAAAAAAGAATGGGGCGATGGTATTCGTGGTTTGGCTTTAACGACAGCACAATACAGTTTAATGAAAGTTGAGGACAAAGATCCTCATCCTAAAAATTGGAGGTGACATTTTATATTTTCGCATAGTTCTCGCTATTTAATTAGTTTTTTAAAAACCTATTTGATGTTAAGGCCGCAATTACTTGTTCTTGTCGAGGGAACATGGTCTAAAGAAATAGTCGATATGCGATGCATAAATTTACTGAATTTGGCTGGCCAATTAAAAGCGGGTCGAGGCTTAGCTATTGTTATCGCTTTCATCAAGGGGGAAATAACTGATCCAGCAGACCGAACAAGAGCAGAAGAGGTTAATTTTTTTCACTAATGAGAAAATTTCTATCAATTTTTTTCTAGGAAATTTCATTTCCTATTTATTTGGCTCCATTAACTAGATAAAACCAGATGGTTTTCACTTCTAATGATTGATATACTTCAACTTCCGATAAGGTGCAGAAATGGAAGCCATGGCACTTGTCATCAGTCGAAGCAAGCCATTAACGCCATTCCCAGAATTATCAGAATTAGCAGTATTCACCATTTTTGATTTTGCTGATTCAGAATTTTCATTAGAAAGGATAGATGTGTCGACTTTCGTCATCATGATTCGTCAAATCCATGGATAGGCATCATCTTAGTCAAAGCAAAGAATTACTAGCCACATTACCTATAAATTAAATTCTTTCTTCAAACCATCATTAGGCTCCACTTGGCCCGAGTGACTTCACTATAAAATGAGATTTTTCTGAGCTTCTCGACCCTGCACCATATCTAGAAGCAAACGAAACCACTGTCAAAACTTCTTTGATATCGCTGATTTTCCTGTAATTTCGAAATCTCTCCTGATTGCATCATTCCAAGTCTTGGCTGAGCCTCTGCACTTTTAACGCCGTGCATCGCAAGGCTTAATGTAAAATATAAGTTCGGGAATGGCGGAGACCTTGGCTTTATATGCTTAGACGACGCCCTATAATGGTGTTATTAGTACACGCGGTATTCGAACAGAAGCGAATGCAGTCATATGAGATTCAGATATAAATGATCAAGAATATCAAGAGCAAATGATAGCTTCTTGATGCCTTCGACACCCTTTGGCCATCTTCCTGTTATATCGTATAACATATATAGCATAGAGGTAAATACATAGCTGCAGCCATTCAGGCTGATATTTCGCCTTTCATACGGCCATTTGATGAAGAGAACCAAAGATACTTACTATCCGAAATTCGTCAATTCGTCAACTGGTATGACATTATAACAGATACTTTATATCATGATATGATATGATATGACTTCCAACTGATCAACATTGATGCAGTTGGGACTCGATTTCATGTTAACTTACCACATATACCACCAGATGAAGAAATGTAAAAATTAACAAATTCAAATAAAAATACCATTTTTAACAGGTAAAATCAAGAATCCAGCAAGATATGATAAATGCTCCTTTACGTGGATTCGGAAAGACGATATTATTTAATGAAAACCAAGTTAGTTTTGTTCCCTCTGACCAATTTTTATTCATCCTTTTTTTAATTTAAATGGCCAACAAATTTAAAAGTAGGATCGTGAGATAAAAATTGGGCTTTTTCTAGAAATTATTCAATATTTTATAAATTATTTTCAAAATTGCAAAAAAATTATGAATCAGATTGATGGTTGCATTTCTACTCTTTATCAAAGCATTGGAATCGGTGGCCTTAAGCCGAATACAGTGATGATAAATTGGCCAAAGAGTGTCGAGCATAGCAATATATTTGCAGGTTCGAATTTTTTTTCTTTCGTTTCATAGTCCTAGTCGGCAAAAAAAATTTGTTCCTTTAGCCATACATAATAATCGTGTTTAGTTAAATTGCTTCAAGCAATTGCATACAATCAGTGTGTTATGGTTATCAAAGGAATCACAGATTTTCCGCTGGCTACAGCAAGGCTTTCTGGATACATCGATATTTGGTGGATAATGTTTGATGGTGGCATATTAATGTTAATTGCCTATCTCTTACGACAAAATAAGGTTTAGAACTTATGGTTTCATTTGGTAGATAGAATACACGGTTCAGCCAGACGCCTTTGAGCCTTTCGTCACAATTCGCAGTTTACAATAATTCTAGGAATTTTTTTAGGTATGGCGTGGTTGTTCTTTACGCATTTTTGCTATTGCTGATGTGCCAGAAAAAAATGAAAAAAAGAAAATGCTACAAAAATACATTTATATGTTGCGCATAGATGCAGAAGTTTTCGTAAGTTTTTTTATCATTTTTGATGGAAGCAGCGGCAAATTAGAAATTTTTAATTAAAAAATGGTTGATTTATTAAACATAAAAGCTTTAAAAAAACTGGATGATAAACGATGAAAAAAATTCTGGCAAATAATGTGACGCTTTTTCTCTAAGAACACTCAGTATTTTTGGTTAGGCTAGTTCGTACGAGTACGTCTGGCTTGGCGATAGAAGTACAGGTGAGTTGCAAACATAAGCCGGATATTTAAAAAAAGCAGGTTTAATTCTGCTAAGGAAGAACCCAAGCATCGGCGCTATGAAATGGCAGTAACATTCCACTCAGCTATCCTTTATTCATATGCTAAATTAGTGTAAAATAAATGGCACAAAGTACTATCATTTGTCGCAATTTAGTGATTTTCTTGGCAAAAAAAATATATATTTTTTCAGATAGTTGATTTCGATATGCAAAATATGTCAAGCGACAAGGACAACATGATGACAACAACCAAAAAGAAATCTGTTAATGATGTACCAACCTATTAAAATAAGAAAATTTTTGCGATATATTTCACTATTTTGAGGTCTGAGAATAAAGCCATAGCTTTTAAACTTAAGATAGAATATTATCTGTCAGGCTTTAGCTTTGGCTTCTCACAAAAAATTAGGCTAATGGTTATTCGTAAATGAAAGCAAAAATTTTATTCTATAAATTATTTGTTTTCTAGATTATGGAATGGAATGGTATTATAGAACAAACGGATGGGCCTAAAAGTATTATTTTATTTTGTCTCTCAACTTTACTCTACTTTATAATAATGATCATTTTTTAGATTTTATCAGTGACGATACGCAAAAAACACAAACTCACCAAATCGAAACATCGTTCACAAAGTAAGCAGAACATTAATAAATTTCTGATTTTGCTTTATGTATGAAATAAACGGTTTATAAGCATCAACGAGAACGAGAAATTGTCGAGGCGACTCTTCACTCATTGATATTCCAGGGCAGCAATTTCAGTGGATCTTCCCAAATTAGAATCACTTAATAGTGCCAAACAACAGACTGAAAATCTCTCAGCGAATCTGGCAGCGAAACTCGAAAAAAAAAAGGTATCCAATTCTCTAAATTTTACAAGGATAATTGTCTATTAATTGTCTAAATTAATTCTTCTAAATTTTCATATTTATAAAATAAACCAATGAATATATTACAGTTACTCAACATGAAATCATTATCACGCCTCAATGAAGTGATTTTGGAAAACTCTCTTCAATCACAATTGGTAATAATCAATTTACCGCGGCCACCAAAGAAAAATAAAGCGAATTTTGAAAATTACATGAGTGATATGGAAATCTTAACATCGAAAATTCCTCGAGTTCTTTTTATAAGTGGAAGCGGTAAAGAGGTAATTACTATTTGCTCGTAAAAAATTGTACTCATAAATTAATAAAATGATTATTCGAATAAAAATTTAATTGTAAACTTGAATAATCAAATTATCGATTATCGATCATTTAATCACTCCTCCACAATTTTATCAAGAATAATAGCTAAGTGCACACTATTTCTGCTTAGGTTCGCTCCATCAGATATTAGTATGATGAGACTCGTTTGCCAGAAAAGTATAGAAATATAATTTGCTGGTTAGCACCATCCGGATTTTTGAATGATTTGAATGAACATTTCTGAACAGTTCGGATTTTCATGCTTGAAGCGATAGATCTGATAATCTGTAAGTAATCTGTGCAACAACCAATAAATTGCTCTATTTAAAACTTTTTGCCATCAAAAACGGATAGGTAATAAATAAATGGAGAAAGATTCGAATCAAACCCGTTCAGTTATAAATTCGACTACTTCTTCATCGGTAAGTTCATCTCTCGTAAGGCATCTTTACATAGATATAAATATAAGAAAAATTTAACAATTTAACAATTTATAAATATTTATATATATAAGAAAACAGACTGGTTGATTTTACTTAGATTACCACTTTAATCTATACGATTTGGGACCTATTTCTGTCTAAAACAAGCCTAAAATTCTGGGACTTGCTTGAATTTCTATCGGTGAATGGTTCAAGGTGCTCCATTCTCATAATAAAAATAGCTATCCTGAGCCATTCTACTCCAGCCGGCGATAAAAGTACAGGTGAGTCGCCAGCATCACTGGACCTTTAGGTTGGTTCGCTCCTGCAGGGCATAGAACCTTAGTATCGGCACTCCGAATTGAGCAGCAAACAACCCACCGAGCCATTCTATTCCATTTAACTTATTAAGAAATATCCATCAGTTTTATCTGAAATGCGTTAAATAAATATTCCTAGAAAATTACTGCTTTACAAGCCTTCAAATGAACAGGCAAGTACCATAGTTCGTATGCATTTAGACAAAATACAAAAATTTTTGAACAAATGAGTGAAATATGCCATTCCTTAGATGCTTAATTCAAAATTGAATATTAATAGATAGATGGATAAATAGAACAAACAAAAGGAAAAAAATGTATAAATTTAAAAAAATTTTTCTTCTAACAGCGTTATTCTAAGCTCGTTCCGCTGGATGAACGGGTCGGATAAATTTTGCCATGTAGATAGAAATATAAATAAATATATTACCAATAACACCAAGAATTTTGAACAATCTGACTTCTGTCGCGTAGCAAAATCCTAGCATTGCCAATCCACACCATTCCATACATTCCATACAAGTAAATACATTCCAACTTAGGCTGAAGTAAAAATAAACCAAAAAAGGAAAAGAAAAAATATGAAAAAATAAAAATGATAAAGAAATAATACTAAAAAAAAATTAATTAAAAAATTAAGAAACAAAAAATAAAATAAATTATATACAAAAAATTGGGAAATAATAATAGGGAAGAAGTTCTTAGAGCGTTATAGTTTATTTAGCTGGGATTTAGGAATAAATATGGGATGCGGAAGAACAAGTTTTTGTAAATTTCATTTAAATATTCTAGAAAATAAGCTTAACATATCGAATGACTTCTTTATTACAAAGATAAGGATAAAAGACTGGAACAATAGTAAATGATAAATGAAAGAGAAAGGACTAAAAGGCCTTTTATGGAGAAGCGATAAGCGATTCTCACCTATATGATGATAAGATTTATTGCAAAGATTATTCACATACAGATTAGTGGAAACCGGATTTTTTCGAGCCAATCTGCAATATTTATCATTAGTGATATCATAAAATTATTATTTTTATGAATTTATCATCTGTGGATAAAGCGATAGACCATGAATATTTTCGGCTCATAAGAAACGAAACTGCCATAAGGCGAACCTCCAACTGCTGGAAATTTTAACCGCAAATTCTAAAATTCAAAAGGATGCATATAATTGATATAACTAAAATTATAATTAGACGGGGAATTAAGTGTTTAGTTAATAGTTCTCGCGTAGAAATATAGCAGACGCAAACTTATGCGTCCATCGCCAGGTGACTATGCCGTGCCACAGGTGCGAACTTTTTTAATATGTGTGGAATATTATTTGTTCTTATATAGTTTACTATAGGCCTTAATGATGCTTCAGTGTTTTTTGTAAAACGTCACTACATTATTTCGATTTTGACAGCATCTGCACTGATAAACATTCTAAAAAAATCCTTCAAATTACACCAGCAATATACTTTGTTTCATTCATCTCGCGACTCGCACAGTTAATGGCTCAGCTGGCCACAGGGGTGAAGTTTCAGTCCACAATTAAGAGCAAGAGAAGCCGTTCGCCTTTCGACCCTCCTGCATATAGCGCTGGACCCTCTACACCTTCAAAGATCTCTTCTGATTGCATCGATCCAAGTGTTGCCTGGTTCTCCTCGCTTTTGACACCATCCATTACAAGGCTTGGCGACGCATGCTTCGAGTCCTACAAGAACATTGCCTAAAGCCTTGCCATACTAGGAAAAGAAACGATTCGCCCAAGTGTACGAACCACGACTCACCACAAACAACCAGAAAGTAAATTAGGCATGGTGATATCAGATAATAAATATGGCTAATGTTGTGACTTTTGTACCGCGACCGCAATTTTCTTATTTCGGGGATTTCTGAAATGCAGTTTCGGCTTTATAAACAATCCAGAAGAACGCGAAGTGAAAGGTGTGAATGATTATTTTCATGGTTTATTTCCGGAGGTGCGGTAAGCCTAAGGCCAATCAGCATAATTTTATTCAATTTCCTATGTATTACTCTTGGTCGCCGCAAAATTTTCGTGTTTCTTCTCTGATAATTGATTAATTTATATTTAATTTATTTAATTTATATTTTATAATTAAATTTGAAATTGCTTGCACTGTTATAATTATTTGCACTGTTATAATTTAGAAGCAAAATTGTGGCTACTGTGGTACTTTAAGCGCGCCTTCAGGATGGCCTCTGTCCTAGGATGGCGAGTCTGAGACAGTGTGGGAGTATAAGAATTTCATTTCTCCTAGAGTCGTTTCTCTTTCTAAGTTAAATAAGGTAATCGGAAGCAAAATGAAAACAGTTTTTTGTGTAATTTCTGTTGGGCGATTAAGAAATAAAAATATTTGAAAAAAATTTGTTTGGGGTCCACGAGGTTTTGTGGTACTATTTGGGAGGTCCATGGAAAAGAGTAGTTTGGCGACCGCTGCCTTAATTAACTTTTCTCGATTTTCGGCAAAATATGTAAGCAGAAATTCGATGATTTCTGATTAATGAAACGGTAAGACCGATTCTCTATCTATTCGAAAGATATCTGCATTTGCTGAAAATGCATGAAAATCTCCGCTACTTTCACCGCTACTGTGACCGATTTTGCAGCGGGGAGTACCTTTTAGTCAGTAAATGCTCAATTTTCTTTCTCTTTTTTTGCATTATATTATGCGAATCAGTAGATTATATTAGAAAAACCTCGATTATATTTGAATAAACTTCGATTTTTTTGTTTTGAAAATGGGTTTTTTGCGAAATTCATAGATGGCATTTTGTATAAAATTTAGCTATAAAATTTTCAGATTAAGCAAAACGTTATTCAGCTGAAAATTTGGTAGAATTGCAATGAATAACTTCATTGAAGAACTCGCAATTTTACTAATTTTATCGACTCTTCTTGTCCACGTACTTTTTTTTAACTTGTTTTTACTATCTTTCTTTCATTATAAATAAGTTGCAGTAAGTATCGCATTTATCTGATGCTGAGGTTCCACGTTCCGCAGGAATGAATCTTTCTTTCAAAAAATCTGGATGACGTCGATGATTCACCTATCGTTTAGAAAAATTTATCTGGTTTGATAAGCTTGTCCAGAAGTGATGTGAGCGCTCTTAGAAAAATAAAATTTATAGAAAATGCTGAAATTTTAGACATTGAAAAACATCCTTGAAATTATCATGAGTTTTTGAATCTTTTGTTGATAACTGGTCGCATGCGGCTATTATTCTTCTTCTTACAACTTTCACCATTATTATTTAGGTGGACTCCACTGGCTACAAAAATCTCAAGTTATTTAGTCCGACGCTAACAATAAAGCCATTCCTTTTTCTATCGTCTACATCCATACATTGCTGGTCCATCTATACGTTCAAACTCTTTCCTAATTGTGCTACTCCAGGTCTTGATTGGACCACCTTGCTATTGACTTCATCCGTCACAAGATTTAGTAAGTAACGAAATATGTGTTAACTTCTGTGGTGAGCGACGAAGATGCCATAACCTGTGAAAACGGCGTTCCGTGATGGTACTATTAATGCAAGTGGTATTTGTGATATCTTAGACATAAGTAGTAAAAGGCACATAGTTTCTTAATATCCTCCACTCTCAAGCGTTTATTGCTCTAGATGATGGAAATTCATCTTTTCTTTTGTTTTATGTATTTCAGATTTCATTTAAATAATTTCACGTGATAGTTATTATTATCGATAGTTTTATTTTTACGAAAAATGGATAGATCGTGTATTTAGAGATTTTTCGAGACATTTTAGAAATTCTTATTCTTATTTTTAAGTCTCTTTTATTTAACTCACATTATTTATGGAACGTGTAATCTCGCGATTATTTGGTAACTTTTTTGTCTAATAGATATAATCAATTTTACTATAATGAATCAATAAAAATTTGGTATTCATTATGTTATTCAAATAAGCTCATTCTGGACTGCGATGGTTGAGTGAAATGATGTTGCTGCTGGCGAACTTTGGTCCTATTTCTTGATGAGAGTAAAGTTACCATTAAAAGTGAAGTCTGGATGGGCATTAGGGATCCATCTGCACCTTTAACTGATTCTGTCGAGAAAGAGTATTAATCTCATTAATACATAATATTGCCAAATTAGAAATGCATGATGTTGGGAAGTATCATTTGTAATTTTTAAAATATCATTCAGATTCATTTTTTCAAGGAAAAATATTAAAGAAATATTAAAATATTAAAATTATATGTTCTAAAATATTATATTAAATTATTCCATTTATTTAAATTTTTTTCGTCTCCTACTAATGGTACTCTTATATAATTTTCTTATAATATTAATTTTGACAATATGCAAGGATTCTATAATTTTGGATCGAAAGTTAAGATAAAAAAATATTTTACTTTACATTTTATAGTATGTACAAAATTATGAAATTTATCACTGAATTTGCTAGAATAAAACTAGTTAAAATCGTATGATTTTTATCATTAAAATTGTTTGTCTGGTATTATTCAGGTATTAATGTGTTTTTTGCAGGCGAATTTTGAAGATGCTCGATGCAGATGTATTTGCCCTTCGACCAAATACTTCGCTTCAAAAAGTTTAACTAAAGATGATGATAATCATCGGCGATATTATACCAAATCAAATATAAATTCATTGAATTGGTATTGTAAATTTTATAATTTTATAATTTTATTTTTAATCACGATTTTATTTTTATCAGTAATATATAATATTTCATTAAAATTTTATATTATTCCTTTTGCTAACTTGTTTTTAAAATCAGAAATATTTAATAATAAGCTAATATTTATAATAAATATAATAATTATTTATAATTAATAAATAACATTTTCAATTTTCAGCAATCCTCAAGCTGTTGTAAAATCAAATGTTTTGGATATTGTCGATGGAGTTCACTTGGATGCTTTTCTCGCCAATTGTGATTGTAAATATGAATCAAGGAATACTGTCATGTTGAAGGTATTGTCGAAATTCCCTGAATTCACTTTGTTTTTGAAGCTTTTTGTGAAAATACTTAGGCTATTGGTTAATGAACTTCCAGGTTGTTGTAATTTTCGTCATTTGTGTTGTTTTTATACTGGTTACTTATATGTTATTTTTGCTTTGTCTTGATCCAATGTTGAGAAGGCAAAAACAGTCAATTCCTTATCGGCAGCAAAATGATGAGGTATATTGCTTATATTTAGTATTTTATTATTTTTATTTGTTTTATTATTTTTATATTGACTATTTATTATTTATTACTTTATATTATTATTTTATATTAATATTTATGGTGAAATTTTTCGACGTTTTTTATTGGTGATAGGGATCTGATTTTCCTATCATAAATTCAATCTAAATATTTGCAGTTGGAAGATAACGTGTTTGCTCGTAATTCGTCTATTGATATTGTAGAAGGAACTGCTTCCTTAAATATGCGATCAAGAAATAGTAAGTTATAGATCAGATTGGCACAGAATTGTTTTATCAATAATCTGAGTGAAACCAAAATATTTTGTAGCTTTTGAGGATTTCACTTTCTTTAAATATGCATATCTTTTCTGTATCTTCAGCGATATCACCATTAATATTTCAGTTTGATCCATGAAATTATCTGATCATTTAATTAAAATTTGTAGAAAATAGGTCACTTTTTTCATGCTATAATAATTGAATTATTTAATCATTTAGTAAAAATGTATATTGTCGAATATACATTTTTTATGTATTTTCAAATCTATACTGTAATTTTTAAATACATACAAAATTTTCGAATAAATTTAATCAGTTTTTTGTAGATACAGTTTTGGAGAGAGTAGAAGCTGAACAAAATCGTTGGATGAAGAAAGTTGAAGAGCAAAGAAAAAATATCTTCACGGATCATACAATGTTAAACTGATTATATAACTGATTGTTTATATATCTTTCCATATCTGCCATTTTAATTATTATATCTAATTTTATAAGCTTCCTTGCTTTCTTTGTATAAAGATAATTGAACTTTTGTTCTAGAGAAGTTGAATGGAATAGTTCCTGAGTTTTATTATTTTCTTGTTTCTTTATTTATGCCTTTAAACCAAGGCCTGTAACCATATGCTTAAATTTTTTATTTATAGCATCATATAGTAAAAACAATGTGAGAACGTTTGTTGCAACACGCAAATTAGATTAAACGCAAACATCAAGAAAAAACATCAACACACCCAATTATTTCTTGTCAGTTTGTATCGCTCTTGTCAACTCATTTAAGAGGATTCTTCTTTCGTTTGGTTTTTTTGTCATTTTTGATATAGTAAGCAATCGTAATTGACTATTTAGAGTGAATTGTTGGAGGGTTTTTACAGTGTAATTTTACGAAAGTGCCACTCACCTTCAGTTTATATGGGTGGTGTATCATATATTTACATTGTTGTATTTCATTAATCGGTATGTTGGAGTAGGCTCGCCATTGAGAAAAACAACATTTAAAGTCCTTATTCGACTATGCTTAAGGAAATAAGTGTGTGCTTTAAAACATTGGTGCTCCACTTTTTTTTACACTTTTGTTTGCAAGAAACAATTTAATATGTGATTTAGTGTCATTAGTAAAGGAATATTGCATATAAGGCGCTTATTTGTTCTATTTAACTTCGTTAAGATGTTGGTAGAATATTTGTTAAGAGTGTTAACTGCTTGTTAATAGCCGATTAATCGAGAAATATTCAACCAGTGGTAGATAATTACAGGCATTAGGAATATCTAATAGCAACTTAAATTTAGCCGCCAAAAAGCGCTCAACGAAGGAAAGTAATAGAAAATCAAGCTTTGGTTTTTGTATTTTTACGATTGTTATCAGTTCATTGTCTTCGATCCTGCAAGGAAGTATTACAAAAAAGCATGTGAATTCAATTTCGCATAGAACAGAAGAAAAAAGATATGGAACGAAAACGCTGGAATTTTATTGATATTTTTTAGCCAAGGATCCTCACCTAATTATGAAGTTGGGTTTCGCATAGTTATCAATCCAAGAACATTGAACCTATGAATAATGACTGGGTTAGTGTGGTACAAATCAAAAATGATTGAAATAGAAAAATAAATCTGTTAGGATCCACCTGTGGTTCTCCACCTGTCCTCCTATAACTAAGTGATTCTCTGTTGAATCTCGCAATGTTAGCGATCATCAAAATCAGAAATGGTGTTAGTTATTCTGTTCGAAGATGAGGATTTCAAATCATTATGAAGAGATTATTTTGAAAAATTCTTGAAATATTCTTTCGAGATCCAATATTTAATATTCAAATTAGTAACTAAAGTCATCCTTTCATATCGTTAGGCAATTAACTGCTTATGATCACATACGCTAAACAAAATTAAGTGAAAAAGAAAAGTTAAGTTATAAATAAGGTGTAAGATTAAGATAAGAATCACTGATCGGTCACTGATGAAGTGCTAAAACGATTTGATGAATTTGCTTTATAGGCGGTATTTTTGAAAGAAATATCCTTCAATATATCGCATTTATCCCTGTTAGATCGATCTTCTTCAACCAATAATTATAATTTACAGCCGCCGACGAGCGGTGACTTTATATTTTTTACAAAATCTATGATCCTCAAATGATTTTCATCCTTTGATCGTGTCCTAATCACTTTTTATGCTATTCGTCAAGCACAATACATTATCGTCTAACTTCGTTCCACTTGTTTCAGTAAAAAAACGATGTCTCTATAATCGATTCATTTTCAGTATTACCTGTTTTTCGGCAACAAAAAATAATTTTTTGCCAGATATATCCGTCTTAGCTTAATTTCACGCTTTTTGATTCGATTTCCAATTTAACTGACAAAATGAATAAGCGAATCTGTTTTAAATTTTTTTTTCCATCACTACAAAGGCACATCAATTTGATCGCCGTAAAACCATTGAAAAAATTTTAAAAAATGATTAAAATGTTATTATTTGAGTAATAATCCGACAACGATCGTAGTTGCAAAGAAGCAAAAGAAAGCTAAAAGCCAAGACAATTATAATATATTATTATTAAGTAATTATTATTTATTATTATTTAACAATAAATAATATTTAATAATAAATGAAAAAACTTCGGATTTGTTTCTATATAAGTATTTTCATCATTTAGTACCACGCAACACCTTCATTTTCACTAATTCCACTTAGATGGAGAAAAAATCTATTCATAGGAGAGTAACTTAAGGATGTAAATGCAGTAAGACAGTCGACGAAATTAGCTTATTATTAAAATAGAGGTTCCATCTTAGGAATAATATGAAAATTGTCGAATTTTTACAATCAAATGTAGAAACAAACTTTGATAAAATGTAGAAACTTTGACAAAAATTTGTTGTTACTTTCACTGCAAATTTCTTATAAAGTTGTTGAATTCAATTAAAATGTGACATTTGAAAGGGTCCAAAAAAAAGAATTATAGATAAATAATCAAAGAAAACATTTATTCCCATTTTTTTCAATATTTATATGGCTAAATTGCTCATTAGTAAAACTTTTCTATTCTCATTTGGCAGCAAAAATGAAGCAATCTTAAGCATAAATGATGAACGACATTAGGAAAAAAATTCTCATTTCCCATAACTTTCGTTGTCAGAATTGTACAATTATGCCATTATTAGAATGAACCTTCATAAGAGGATTAATATAATATTTATTCCTTTTGTGTACTGAAAAAGGGACTAGAAAATATGTACAAATAAAGACCAAAGTGATTTTATTGACAATTGTAGCACTTGGAACTGGGATTAGTAAACTAGAAAAGCGGCTTCAAAAGATTCTAGGAACAACACCAGGAATCTTTATCAAAAAGAATTCACTGCTAGGAACAGCAATGATACTGCGCAAGATCTTCCAAGCCTTTGGTACAGGCGACGTTGAAAATGATCCTTACCACTTGCAGTGGCTGAGAGAGATTTTTTTTTCAAATTTTACTTATTGAGATATTGGAAATTTTTTCGCTTAATTTTATGATAGATTCATTGGAATATGCAAAGAGATTCTAAATTTAACGACTTTATGGAAACTTTTTTGAAAAAAAATTATGTTAGACCTATTTTTTTAAAAAAAGGTCTTGGTACTTTTTGGTTCAAAATATAGCAACAAATAAAATGAACCATTATATTTTCTCTTAGATCGCGAACACAGTCTGTATTTCACGAAAAGTAATGAAATTACTTAATGAAATTAAAGAAATTCTCGTTGGATGCAGCAAAAAAATTAATACACCTTATATTCATTTCAGTATTTTGAATTCACTTCATTTGTTCGATTGTCTTTATAGGATAGAATAATTCAGTGGGTTGTTGCTCAATTGGAAGCGCCGACGCTGAGGTTCGATTCCCCGCAGGATAAACCTGTCCAAAAAAACTGGTGATACTGGCGACTCACCTGTATTTCTATTGCCAAGGGACTCCTTGGCATATTGCCCAATTGTGACAAACCAGTGGAACGAGTTTAACCATTAATGGTGAGGATTCTTAAAAAAAAAATTCACTTCAATTATTCGATTTTTTTATAAGGCAAGAAAAATAATTCGGTTTTAATATTTAATGCAGGCAATTTTTGTATTTTTTGAGTAATTCCCAAAAAATTTCTACAACTTTCTAGAAAACTGAAATGGTACATATAAAATTTTGCTTCCTATTCTAGCTAATTCGAATAATAAAACTCTTTTATTGCAAATTTACCAAATATATGAAAAAAAAGCGAGCGCAAAAGGCAGTAAAATATTGCATCCTGTTTCAGCGCTACAATTGATATATAAACATTTATGAATGAATGTTTAATTTCCGTTCCAACAAGTTTTCTGAATCGCTTTGGTGTATTAAATTTTATTGAATTTTTATTTATATTGTAATGTCATGAAAGCTACAAAAAAATTATTTTACGCAACCAAATTTGAATTCGAAACTTTTAGTCCGATCAAATATCTAAGCGATCTCTTAACGACGATTAATGATCCGTGTCGTAGAGCTTAGAGCATTTGCACCAAATGAAATGACATTTGGTACAAATGGATCCCTTTCCTTATTTGGGCTTCATTTGCAATGCTCGTTGCTAGGAAAACGATTGGAATTCACACGCTTAGTCTAAATCAAAGTAATAAACGACATTGTTCCATTGTAAATCATTATAATTTATATTACGGATCATTTCGATAATTTTGATCTAAATTATTCTCGCAGTTAAGTCAGTGCATTAAGGAAGTTCCAGTTGTGATAGGTATTCATAGCCTGCTAATCACTTCAGTACCATTTTGTGCTATAGTACAGTTATTGGCTATATGGCCCATCGTTTTTCGCTGTTTGCTATCGCTAATTTAATTTATTAGTTTTCCGTCAAAAAATAATTTCATATCTTCATCGTTTAATTTACTCTACAATTCTAAAATGAATTTTCTGAGCGGAAAAAATCGCTTATCTTTAAATGGAATCTTAAGAATTCATTAGCGGTAGAACCACTTGAAACTTGACTCCGAGGTGAGTTTTAAATTAATAGTCGTTAAGAATAAATAATATTTTAAAAATTTAATGCTTAGAATTTAATGAATTTTTTAAAATCTAAACAAGCAAAGTTAAAAATTGAAATATTCAAGCAAAAATATCAGAAAATATATTTATGCGAAAAATAGAATTATTTACTAAAATAGAATTTAAAATAGAATTACTAAAAATGGAATTATTTCAATTCAAATTATTCAAAAATTAAATAATAAAACCTTCCAAAAAAATTGATGCACTTCATCCATAATTTAACTCGTCGAGTTTATGTTTTTGATCATTTGCATTTCAACTTTTAGCAGAAAAATTTCAAGCAAAATGCGGTATATGTGTAAATTGAACAAGTTGCTCAGCAGTCCGCTGCTCTCATTCCGGACTCCGGAGTCTATTGCTAAGATTTTTACTTCTCTTTCAAAAATCCGGATGATGCTGGCGATTTACCAATAATTCCATCGCCAAGAAATTTCCTATAGAAATTTGACTAACTAGCTGGCAGAATGAAAAAGTGAAATTAGAAAGGTAAGCACATATACAAAAAAATCGAAAAAACTAGAAATGTAGGATTAACAATGAATGCAAAAAAAATTTAGTTCGTTTCCTCTTTCAATAAAATAAAATTGAAATAATTTAAATTATTTTTTATAGAATTTCCTTAAATAAAATTTAAAAAAATAAATTTCTTAATTTTAATTTTGGGTACCACGGAAGATTTAATACAATTAAAGAATATATGACATAATTCATTGGAAAAAAGGTTGATTTTCAGCGTATTGGTGTGATTGATGTCAATAGGTGGGCTGGGTTGTTTCAAAATTTAAGAGGCACGGTGGTCAAATGGGTTGGACAAAATGGGCGGACTACCGTAGCAAAATGTATTTTTGAACTAAAAATGACCTAATACTTCAGTTGCACATTCAACAGCAAATGAGTTTTCCTCTAAAAATGAGTAATCATCACTTTGTCTCAACAACGAATAATTCCGTTTTACCAATTTATACACCGGTACCAAGCATATCTTCTTTTTATCAGCCGAGTTTGCCTGTTCTCCCAAGTACTTTCAAGCCTGATATGCTAGCAATTCCACCAGTCAGTGCGCCCACTACACCAGTATATGCACCCACATTTTTATCTTGCTTACCTAACTTTTCATCTGTACCCAATACTTCATCGTTTTCTGCGTCTACGCCAGCAGTTACGGGGGCACAAGTACCACGTATTACAGGGGCGAGCATATGCCCTACAGCTTTTTCTGGCCCTTCTACGCCAACATTTAGTACTGTTTATGGCCAGGTATATTTTTCATTTTCTTACGGATCTTTTTTTATAAGTTATAAACTTAAATGTAAAGTACATAGTTCTGTCGTGTTAAGGATAATCTAATAAAATAATCTAATAAAACAATGTTTAACAATTTTTTTGCAAAAATTCTCGAAAAAATTTATCATTGATAATTTTGAGACTGATAATTTGGTAGAGTTTCATTGTTTAATTTTATGCTTAATTTTCTGTGAATACGAATGAATGCGAATTTCAAAGCTTAAAGAAAGATTTGCATGAAATTTTATATCTTCACTATTTGTTTACAACATTTTCACCTGTGCACTTCCTATATTCCTTTTAAGGAATAGATTCCTTCAATCCTAACATTTCTGCATAAAGCCACTTCTTATGGAAATAACTCTGGCTATTCTTCTGCGAAAAAACGTTTAATAACTTTGGTACTTGTGAACTTGGTATGTCAGTGGCATTGTAAGCGAGTCATGCTTTCGATTTTTTGTCACACATTTAAATTTAAGATTACAAATTTTACTACGAATCTAGTCCAAATTTTGCTCTTATATTGTATCTTAAATAGAAATCGTTCTTTGAATCTTATTTTTATTGTAATCTCGAGATAATTCATAAAAGCACGCAACCAATCATTTACAAGAAAATTCCTTTTTTAGCTATTTAGCTATTTTGCATAGTTTTTTGCCAAATCTAAATGAATAAATGTTATGCACATTTTCGAATTCATTTCTTTTCTTCCAAAGAGCACTCACCATAAGGACCGTTCCACTGGTTTGTTGGTATACATAAATTTTGCTAGGAAATCGGTTGTGGCGATTTAAGTTCAAATAAATCGCCAGTATTATTCAAAAATATTACATGAATTCGTTTATTCTATTTTTTGTATTTTTTGCTTATTTCTATAAAATTCTAGTATGGCTTAAATTCGATGAATTTGGTTTTACTAACCAGCTGAATTCAGAAAAAACAAATTAAATGAAACAATATTTGTATAATGAATTGATCTGTTTATTTTATGATCTTTTATTGATCATTGAAGAGACACAATAATCTTATATAAGTTAAATTTTGATGTTTGAAGGAAGTATTGCTGATATCAGTTTAATAATGTAAGGGAAATATTGTCAGTAAAGTTGAGAAAGAGGGAATTTGAAATCATTCGAATTTGAAATAATAATCTTCAAAGATTTGCATAGGTTTAATATTAAGTTTTTGAAGAAATACTTAACATTATGTAAATTTAGAATATTTTATAAATGTATTTTATATATATGTATGTATATTATAACTTTTTTCTTGTTTTCTTGTTTAAGAATTATGCTTTCTCTACTAATAAAAATTCTGTATATGATAAGCTTGATAATAGCCAGAAATTTCAGGGTAAGATAAATCAACTTGGAGGTATGTTCGTGAATGGCCGACCGCTCCCTATGCCTATCCGAATGCGGATTGTTGACATGCATGCACAAGGCATTAAGTAAGAATATTTCTAGCAAAGTTTCATTTTACTTATGGGCTTACTCTTAATTCCTCGGAATTACTTATTCTTTTTACTCCTTTCTTAGACCAAAACATAAATTAAGCAAACTATCTCTACTTTTTTAAAAATATTCTTTAATTCAATATGTGGCTATTAAATTCATAAAAATCATTTAAGACTAAATCAATCCTAATAAAGCAAACATGCTTCCAATTTTTTCTCAACAAATAAGAAGCATTAAAAAAATTTTTTCATTCATTTTATGAAAATTATTTAAGGGCTTGTGATATTAGCCGAAAATTAAAGGTTTCGCATGGTGCAGTGTCAAAAATCCTTGCAAAGTTCGTTGAAACAGGATCTATAGAACCAGGCCAGGTCTATAAACAATATTGTATCTAATTTTCAAAATTTTTTCTAATACAACTTCTACACTTGGTCCTCTACTTTATCAGAGCAAATTTTGTTAGAGTCATTTGGCGATACAAGTAATGCCCGCATTTTTTAAAGACAGGTTTATTCCCAAGAGTAGGAGTGAGGGCAACATTGAGCCATTTTCTATGCGTTAGATCTTTTAAAAAAATAATGAATAGAAAGCCATTCACAAGGGTATTTGCAATATTTAAAAGCAATAATTTTTATTCAACTATGACGTTAATTTGGTTTAGTTTATTTAGTTTGGTGATTGTTGTTGTTTTCAAAGTTTTCTTTTTTTTGAGAAAATAACTATATTAGGAAGAAATTTTAAAACTTTTTCATGTAAGCAAGTAAAATGGAAGAGTATTGATAAGTATTATTTCCATTTCTGATAAGAGTAGATCGGCAGAATTATGTTTGGAAGGTTGTTGAAGATCTATATATGATTCACTCTTCAGAACATATTAGATTGCCAGAACATATTAGATTTTCAGTTCAAATAATCAAATATATGTCATAATCATTCAAGGTTTATGATTTGTGGCTTTGCGAAAACTGATAAGATGGGGAGAAAGCCTTATCACTTTGTAGAGTTTTAAACAATAAATTTTCTATAATGAAGAATTTATGCGAAAGTGTGAAGTATGACAGAAAATTGGCGTGATAATTGGTTCCTTGTTATTGTGGTATAAATACATACTAATAGCGCGAAAATGTTTATAAATTTCTATCTTTTCTCCCCTATGGCGAGATTTATTCATTTCCTTTGTTTTGTCATTTGATTGAATGAAGCAGATGCAAAAAAAATTTGTCAAATTAAATACCATTTGGCAAATTTCATATGAAATTTTCAAATTTTTTTTGTGTAGACAGATTTAATTTAGTCGAAGGTCAATCTTTCCTTATTGCAATTCTTCGTTTAATGAATTTTCAATTTTAATTTCTAAAAGCGCTCACCATTTCTCGCTAGTGAAATCCGCACCACTGACTAATCTTATCATATCAGTGAACTTCTAAAAGAACTGGTAACACCAATTAGATTTTTGAAAGACCAGTTTATTCCTTTTAAATCCTAGCGCAGCACTTCAAAATGAGATTAATAACCCAGTGGACTGGCCTATACTTACTAATCCCCTCCCCTCTCCAATGGCAATATGATAGAGTGCAAGGAATGTCATTGTGTTATCTTAATGATTCAAAAAAATTAATATCTAAAGAAATCATATTTCCATTTATTTATTCGAAGGAACATTCAACTGCCAACTTTATTGATATAATAAACAGTGTAAAACTACAGTAGCTTTGGAGCATAATTTTTATGTCATCGGCGCTACCGTATCCTTTGACATCATCAACGATAATAAACGAATAACTAAACGCGAAATTATTGAGAAAGATCACAGAGAAAAATTCTTACATAACTCGGTTCTTTTGATAGTTTCATCATTAGTTAGCATATAATTTCCGTTAAGACTATAAACTAATCAACTTTTAACGGTTGAAATATTTTAGTAATAATAACCGGTTCCGCCAATAATATTTCGCAAAGCTATTGTTAATAAAATTGGGATGGAAATTGGAATGAAAATTGCACTGAGATAACCTCAGTGACCGTTTGCTGTGCTTGTATATAATGTGTAATATTAATTAGTAATGAATTTAAGAAAATTCGTGCAAAAAATTGCCTTTTAGATTGGTGGAAATCCACGATCACGGGGAACTATTCAACATGTTCAGTTAGCAGTTCGTCAACTTTATTTACAACGACCAGAACTATTAGCAGATGAGATTCGCTCGCTTCTCGTTGAACGAAAAATATGTTCACGAAAGAATTTACCGACAATAAGCACAATTAATAAGTTCGTTGAAAAGAATTTATCATATATGGAATTTTGAACCTTCATTTATTTTTAATTTATTTTTAAGAGCATTCGTCATTACTGTTAGTCTTGCTAGGCCGACTCATTTGACGAGATAAAGTTTGCCACTTAGCCACTCGTCGGTAAATGAATTGGCAGTTGAGTTGGGTATCACTTGGTGTTTGAAAGACATTTATTCCTTTTAAGAGAAGAACCTCAGTTCCTATGTTTTAAAACGAGAATAGCGACCATTTCAGTTATTCTAGCCCATGTTTTAGATGTTAGCTCAATCAATTTTTCTTTATCAAGTTTTTTTTTGAGGATTATCAAAACACTGAGAAGACAAAAAACTACAGAAAGGAAAGACTATAAAATCGACCGATTTCTTTGCGATGAGAAAAGTGGTGGTGCGTTTTACATTTCTAAAATTCATTCTAATATCTTTATTCTTATTCTTATTTATCACCTAAGAAATTACTACTTAATTATTTCGATTGTCAATATAATTTCTATGGATTCATTTGTACTTTTTTTCGAGATGCATTCCTTTCAATTGCTTCCAGAAATTCGCTCTTCACTACGCACCACATTAATACTTCGGAAATGCGTGAACTTTTCCTCCACTTTTTACCTTTAAAGCTTCTGTTTCCCGATTCCTAATGAATTCGTTGTCTTCTGTATACGTAATTTTTTAAAACATTGTTCTCTTTCAGTTTCCATCATTTAATGACAAAATTATTCCTATCTATAGTTTAATTTTTTCTAAAGAGTCCTCACCATTACTGGTTAAACTCGCTTCACTGGCTTGTCACACTGAGCAATATGTCAGGATCCCTTGGCGATAGAAATGCAGGTGAGTATCGCCAGCATCACTAGTTTTTTTGGACAGATTTATCCTGCGGGGAATCGAACCCCAGCATCGACGCTTTCAATCGAGCAACAACCCGCTGAGCCATACTATTCTCACAGTTTAATTTAGTCTTCCTCAATAGATATTATTTATGCTAAATTTTGAACTAGGTTTGCTAAAGCTGAAACTAGGTCTACTAAATTGTCCCCCAATTCGTTATATAATAAATGAACTAATATTTTTACTTTGGTTCGAAAAATTCGCCTTGTAAATTAGGATTGGGAAGAAAAAGTACTATTATTTAGTTGCAAGAATTATGCCCATTTTCTATGAAACTGATGAAATGTTAAAGGCAAATTGAATTTAAAAAAAAACGTGTTTCTCGAATCGATTTTGGGGGAGGGACTTTTAATTGCATTTCATTTTGAAATCTGGATTATGGAATAGAAAACTGAATCATTCGTAAAAAATGGCTTCCTCTTAGCTTATATTAAAAATTATGACCAAGATCTTAAGTTATTTTCGTCCATCTTGACCCCAGCCTGATAATTTTTTTAAGTCCCTCTGAAAAATTTCTGACAAAAAACTTCTAAAAACACACTATAACACCAGGAGATAACCATAAGTTATCATTAACTACTATAGAATTATTTTTTGTATCCGGGCATAATGCTGTACGAAGAAAATCGTCTAATAGTATCGAACTGAACCCTTTCATAGACCATTACTATTGAAGATAGAACAATGGCCTCAAATGAAATTTCATCACTCTCACTAATGATATTGCCATTTTTTCGAAAATGAGTTATCGAAGAGAACTATGAGTAGTTCGCATAAGACTAAAGATAATGCCTCATTTTTTTCGCTTGAAGTTCGATTACCTTTGCAAATTCACTCGTAACATTTCAAATTATTAGTATTTCCGATATAATTTATCGATGCAATATTAGTTTACAACGAACGTTATGCATTCTTCAGTAATCTATAAATGATAAACGGTGGTTATATAGTGGTTTTATTCATTAAAATGATTTTTAAAATCGATATTTTAAATGGAGAAATTTGTACGACATGAAATTCTTCTATCGATCATTATACGAATAGCTTGATTAATTATTAATTGTCATACGAAATGAAAAAATTTTTTAGATAAGGTTATACGATAATGACATGTTGAGTAATATATGTCGCGATCATAGATTCAATCATGTTTTAATTAATTATAGCATAAAAGTTGAATCATTTTGAGTCGATCAAATTAATAAATTGAAAGCTAAAAAAGTACGATTTCTACAAAATTTTTCACTGGGGATCCAAGTAGAAAAGATCTTAAGCAAAAGTTTATTTAAAATGCCAAATTTCGCCTCCCAGAAACTATTCAGGAAAATCAAAATATGCAATTTATAACATGACGAAATTTTTATGAATATAATTTAGAAGAACAAAAAATTTATAAGCATATCAAAATCCTAAGATGAAAAATATAGTACCATAGGTAGTAAGGGGTATCATAATACCGCCACCGAATGGTGGCGGGTTTTGAAATTAGCTAGATCGACGCCTAAGTCTACCATTCATAAACAGAAACTGAACTATATTGTGAAATCTCTTCAAATACATAAGCTTATAAAATTGTCTATTAAATTCCTGTTGTTTTGCACTACAGTACATTGCAATGCAATAATGCACTGTTGTTTCTTTTCTTTCGTGGCTTTAAGGGCTTTTTGCACATTAAAGAAGTTATGATGGTGCCCGTCTCTAATTAAAGTGAATTGGTAAATGTGGATATAGGATAGCTTCTATTTATTTCTCTTTTCTTTTTTCGAACACTTCTCCCCATTTCTGGTTTGGCTGGTCCAAGTTCTTCTGATAGGAAATCAAAAGGAAACAAAAAGTGTATACCAAACATTCACCATTCTGGTGGAATGGTTTTTAGCTTAGAGACCTTATTACATTGTTATAATTTGAAATCTTAAAAATACAAACCTATAACAAAATATATCAAAAACTTTGCCCAAATTATTAAGACTAACACCATTACTGATAAACTGATTCTCAGTTAAAAATTGGAAAATATTTTTGGGAAATTCTCATTCTCAAAAATATTCTTCTTTTAGAACCAATCAAGCATTGACTGACTGCTAGTTAACAGTGAAGTGCTTTCAGCTGATCATTTAGAAGCACAGATCTCAAAGAGAGATACAGAGATCTCCAACTGCCAATAAGGAAGAAGTTAAAACTACGATTGTTTGGGCTAGACTATCTGCATTTATTTAAAGGTATTAGGTTCCGCAACTTCCATCCATTATCTTGAGATTGTATAAATGTATAAACATTATCAACTATAGAGCCAGATTTTAATTTTGATGAACTTGACCTTCCGTTAATATCTGATAAATATCTTTTCTTTATTGTCTTTCATCATTGCTTATTACTATACTGTAGTAATAACAATTGATACATCGTAATTCCAAGTATACTATTAATAATTAAAAAGGCCTGCTAGAGTATATCGGACAAAAGGCCTTGTTTATCATACTTATCATTTTCGCTCTTCATTTTACATCGGTGCTGTCTTGGACGAAATACCTCATATATTTAAATTCATTAAAGATCTAATAATTCCGCAGTTAGCCAAGTAAGGCCAAGAGATCATAGACAATAACTCATTTTTAGATTCACATGATGAGGCTGAAGGATCTTCAAAAATGGCTCAAAAAGCTTTAAAATTCATGCAAAAGGGAGATATAATAGATGGATCAGAACGATCTGAACAAGATAGATCATCAACAGCAGTTGTAGAGATAAAGGAATCTAAAAAAAATGAAAAAAGTGAAATTCAAGCGTATACTGAGGAATATGAAAGATCCGAATCCAGTTCACCTGGCGTCGAAGTAAATAAGGCTGAATGGAGCTCTTGCGAAAAATTACAGAAAAAAAAGCGGAATCGGACAACATTTACCACTTTTCAACTTGACAGCCTTGAAATTTTCTTCGCTAAAAACGGTTATCCAGGACATGATGCAATAAAGAAACTATCACAGTCGATACAACTCAATAAGCAAAAGATAATGGTAAGCCGAAATTTTGTTTCGCAACAGAAATTAAGTTTAATAGATTTTAATAGAGATTTTTTAATTTCAGTTAGTCCTCGCAGAAGTCCTTTTTTAAATGGTTCTAAGCGTGATTTGGCTTTGATTAGTTAGAAAATTGTTTGTCACTAAAAATAAAGATAAAATATAATTTAATGAACTATCCAAAGTTTCTACAGTAATAGCAAACTTCTTTTATTTTTTCTTCAAAACTCTGCTTCCAGACTTGGCTGAGCAATCGAAGAGCCAAAGAAAGGAACCATTTTCGACAAAAAATAGAACAAGAATTAAGATCGAGTCAACATTCATTTTACATGGCTATGCCACCGATGCAAAATTTTCTCCCAAATGAACAAGTGATTTTTACTACTAAGTGGAAACAACTGGAAATTATTCTATAAACTGTTGAAACTATACTTTGAAGAATTCTGTTTTCGCGCTAATTTTCCATAAGTTATCGCTAAAAATTTTTAGGTCCCTTTGGTGCCCTATTATCAACAGCCGATAAATTTCATGTCAACATATTCATCAACTTCTACTTTATGTCACTCGATATGATAAACAAATCAAGGCAGCTATTTACGCCTATTAGCTCAACCTGTGCATTTTCGGAAGTAATAAGCTTAACATAATATTATATCTCGCATCGCTGTTGCTATTGTTATTGACAAATGTTTTTTATTTGTTTATTAATTATAATTAATTATAATTTTTTGTGAATTTGTGAATTTCACTGTGAATCCAAGTGTTTTTTTTTGTTCAATAATTTTTTCATCACAAAAATCGGAGAAACTGTGAAAAATATGCTATAAATTCTTCAATTCAACTGTCCAAAAAATTTTTTTAAAAATACTATGCGAATCGTTGAAAGATAATTTTTTTTTACAATTTTTAATGTTGAAAATCTCATGTCCTCACAGCCTTTTTAGTTTTTTGGAGTTTTAAAAAAGTCACAGTTTTTTGTTTCATTTTTGAAGAGATTGCCAGACAAATTTTACTGGAGAGTTAGTTCAACAAGTGGGCTTCGAATATCACCAAGATTTTTGAAAGAAATGTCTCCATTTGAGAGAACAGACCCCAAGTATAGGCGTCCAGAAATGAAAATTGTATTCTCTGTGCTCTTCTTCCCACTAGTTTAAGAAAAAAAAAAGGAAAACTTTAGTCATATTCAATATATTTGGAAAGTTTGGTTTATAAGAAGGAACAAAGGCGAGCGTCTTGAGATTCAATCAAACCAGTCCAACAATTTTTATTTTATTATCATTTCGTATAACCACTCATAAGGATTTAAAAACACATAGGATATGGAATAAAATGAAATGAAAAATCTTGGAAAATTCCGAAAAAACTAATGTAGAAGAAGTTCAAGTGAAATTTCAAATGAAGACAAATAATGAATTAATTTAATAAATATTAATGAATAATGGCCAAAGTACGACAACAAAAGCGTTGGAAAAGACGAATGATTTATTATAAAGATAGTGATCTTAAGGGGAATGTAACGAAAATAATAAATTGACTTAACGTTAGGCATTTTTATTGACCCTGATAACAAAACGTCTATAGATTATTTTTGTGTCACTGCTAGGCAATAAATAATTATCAGTTTGATTTTAATAGTGCAATGCATTTCAGTAAAATTTTTCTTAAATTTTAAATGAAGTTCACATTTTATTTGCGATTACTTTTATTGCCAAAGCAAATTTTAGAGAATTTCTTAATTTATAAAAAATTTTATTTTACTACAGCAGTATATTTGCATCTATTAAGTAATTATTGTTAATTATTAAACAAGAGTTTTTGATGTATAATCGGATACGACTTGTTACCTTTTAGAGCGCCGATGTTTGAATTCTATTTCACGCATGAGTAAATAAGTCGTTCAAGAATGCGAGTAATGCTGGCGACGCTACCCACATTTCATCGTTGAATCTGCTTAAATTCCTCTTATTTTCGATCCGACAAATATAGCAAGCATACTAGAAATGTAATGAGATTTTATGGTATGTCCAGAGATATATTTGGAAGATTTTCTATTCAACGCTGATGGTAAATATTTTAATCAGAATCAAATCACATGAATTATATGTCGGTTAAAGTAACAGTTAAAGTATGTAAACTATATTAACTAAGGAATTTATCGATCCGTTTACTAGATCATGAGAAAATACCCGCAAACTTCGATTATTTAATAAATTGCGGAAATCTATAAACTAATAAATTTTTTATTTGCTCATTCCCACCATCGTTTGTCAAGAATGGTAGCGTTATCAGGTGCGCAATCTGATCATATAATCGATTACACTGAAAGAGTTCACACATTAATTTGAATTGTCGTAATGCTTTATCTTAGGGATACCAATACTTTTTAAATTATTTTAAATTTTAAGTTTTTCAAAATTTCTTCCTACAAAAATATACAAAACAAGACAATGAAATATGTAATGAAATGCACGAGAAAAAATAATTTATCAAATACAAAAATATAAAAATATAATATAATAAAATATAAAAGCATAAAAATGGATTTTTTATTTTATAAATCATGAAAAGCTAGGTCTTCTCAGCTACTAAAAGATTTCGGTTAAAAACAAACCTTTCTTCTCATCTCCTCTGTGGATGTTCATGAGCCTCAAGTCTTCCTCTAGAAGCCAGAGGGATTAAGAATTCTGCGTACTACCTTAATTTTTCCTAGTAGTGCATTCTTCTGGATCTTTGTTCGTATGACCTGAAGCTAATTTTTTAGTTTAAGAGTTGTAGTTCCAAGTGCTTCAATTATCACTTGAATTACTTTGGTTTTCCACATTTTTTCTAGTTCTTTTTTCAGCTCTTGGATTTCTCTAACTTCTCACATTCCTTCTTCCTTATATTCCTATAGTTGATATTTTGTTTATAACCAAAATATCTGGTTGATTGGGTCAGCACTTCTTTGTCTGTCTAGATGGAAAACTTAAGACAGTACTTCACTTTATTATTCTCTACGATTTTCTGCAAAATCCCCCACTTAGTCTTGGAAGGGCTTAAGCCATCTGCCGAGCAGATATTCCTGTAGATAATGCAGCTCATTTCTTGATTCCGTGATAAAAGACTGGAATGTATAAATATATTTAATGCATATAAATCTCGACCTATAAGTAACCAAATTTTCTTCCTAACAATTGATGGATAAATCTCGTTTGAACTTGAAGCATATTGTGTAATCGATTGGTCTCTATTATCTATATCGGTCAGTTATTTTGTGGATTATATTGCATTTTCCTTGTTTCTTTGTTACTTTTTATCTACAAATATAAAATAACGAAAAGAAAAAAGATAAAAATAAGAAGCCAATGAAATAAGCCAATGGAGTACATAAAATCTAAAATTGAAAATTTTTCTTTCAAATTTATGATTTTATGATTTTTCTATCAAATTAATCAAGAAGAAAAGATTTCTTACCATTATAATGTGTTGAATTATTACAATGCTAATCTGAAACCAATTGTGAAGGATAAGAATTTATTTATTTATTGAAAACCAGCCAAACAGGGGCGACAAGCGTCATGTGCTTGTATTAATAACAGCAGTGAAAATAACGAATAATAGTAAGAATTAATGACAAAAAAAATTAAAAATTTAGAGATGCGATAAAGAGGAAATTACAAAATAATATAATATAGTATAATTCGAAATAACTATAATCGGATGGTAAAAATCGAGATTTCATACTTTCTGCATGTAAACTTTTAACTTTTTAAATAATGTCATAAATGATATTACATCTATTCTTTTTTTAAAGACAGCTAGGGATGACGCATAAGCTATATCGTTCGGTAATTTATTCCAGTAATTAATAGTACAAAAGAAAAATCATGAGTCCTTAGTTTAGTTTTGCATATAGATTTTAGTAATTTTTGCCAATTAGTTCTTGTTGGATTCAAATTCAGCCAAAATTAATAATAATATAATAATAATAGTAATATTTTAAATTATTTAAAAGAGTCAAATTTAACATAATGTAAGTAAAAATCAAATCTTGGTTCAATGAATTGAGAGAGAATCCAGGTTGTATTGTTAAAGTTATAATTAAAATTGCTAGTAAAAGAAAGGCGTTGTATAAAATAATTTTGGATTTCTTTATTTTACTTAATTTGCAATATCTCAGGGAGTAACAGATAGCCCTGTAGTCATGAAGAGGCTTTGTACATCTGATAAGAAACCCTTTACTAAGAAAGTTCGAAATCAAGAATCGAGAATTTCATCCATGATTATTCCGAGATCGGAAATGTGTGACTCTTCTGATTATATTACCATTAATAAAAAGATTAAGAGGATCGAATCTTTTAAAACGAATAAGTTAAAAAGATCGAATCGAATCGAATGTAATATTAGAATTTATATGTAGAACTTTTGTAAAGAAAGGGTAGTTTGCCTGTCATATAGCCAGTTGGCTATTATGATGAGGTCTTCCTGCAGTGGAGATAGGTTATACGATTTACCATCAGAATAAGAAATTTTAATCACCAGCATAAAAATAAATGATAGGATTTAGTACTACTTTGGTGAAATTATTTATATATAATAGAAAAAACAATGGCGTAGTACAACTACCTTGGGGAACGCTAGATTTAACAGATGTTGTGTCAGAAAGAATGTTATTGACACATATAGTCTGGCAGCGATCTTATGTTATGTAATTTGACACCCACTTATACAGGGCCCCTGTAATGCCATAACTATGGGAAAAAATATCAAAGGCCAAGTCTAGGTAGGTATACAATTTGATAGATTTCAAATTTGTTCTGCAAGTTCATTTTATATTTTGTTACTTTCGATTTCTGAAATATCTTTAGCTTTAAATATAATTTCATTAAGGTTGACAAATTTCATTGTGGGTTATTAGTTCAGTCAGTTTTTATTTCAAAACGCCGATGCTGTGGTTTTAACCTCGGCAAAAGTAAAAAATCTGCATGACATTTTCATGTCATAGGCGCTTTAATTACCATGCGACTTACTGATAAAGTTTAGTTTACCTGATTCGACAAGCAAGCGCAACGATTTTAATTAGAAATGATGAGAGCTCTTAGAAATTTTGAAAATTAAGATCAAGCAAAATTTTTTGTAAAAGCAAAATTGCAAAAATAATTTAAAGAAAGAAAGGGAAAGAGCCCTCATGTTGACGATTTCTCTTATAACAAATACATATTGCTTTTTTTAGATAATTCATTTTATTTTCTAAAAAACGATAGCTATTGAAGGATAAAAGTACGTTTGCATTGTTTTATAACTAAAGGCATTTGATGCCAAGTAAATTGATAAATTGACTGTTTAAATAAACTATGACGAAACATTGCATAAAAGTTCGAGAAGACCACATCTAAAACTTCGAATTTGTCATCGCCATTTGTCTTTAAAAATAAACAATTTATTGCAAATACCATTAGTGACTTAATGGTTCATTTAATTGTGTGAAATTAGTTAATAAAAATATATTGACTTTGAGAAGACAACGCATATTAATTTCGATTGATCGAAATTCTAAGGAATAGAACGATCTTTCTTCAACGATTTCAGACTGGCATTAACACATAGCAGAGCTAAGTAATGGCCGATTCACATGCGAAACATTTCAGGTGGAATTTTTCCGTTTTCCGTTAGATCCACATTGATTCCTCAAAAATTTATCAACAATCAGTTAATGGGTAATGAATTATAATCAAAAAATTGTAAAAAACTTTTGGTATTTTGATAATCCATTTCACCTAATTATTGCTGGTAAAAAACCAGTAAAAAATTTTTTATTGCATGTAAATAAGATTACGATAATCTTATTGATTCTTTTAATGCAAAATAAACCTTATTAGAACCATTGTTTCAATAGATATCTAAGAACTGCGAAATATGGGCAATCAAATTACGTGAAGAACAATTTTAAATTGTCTACGAGGCCTTTTGGCTTATTTTTTCAATAATTTGAATCAATTATAGTTTGTCTTATTTTAAGGCATATAATGGATAAAGATCAGGTTATAAATTATAAATCATAACCGTTCACTCACTTGTTAAGCAGAGTTTCTTTACCGTTTTTGCAGCATCGAGTTCTTTGAAAGTCTAATGAAGCACATGGATCGCAGCAACGCTCTTTGTATGCATGAGGAAACTGTGGTTGGCATAGAAAGATAAACCTATAATTTCTGTCGCTAACTTTTCAGAACATAGAAATACTAAGTTTTAGTAGGAATAAAAATTACAAATTTTTCAACAATAAATTCAATTGTAAAAGTTATAAAAATTAAAAGAAATATTCTAATAGCAAAAATAAACGGAAAAATTGGATATATTAAAAAATAAAATTGGGCGAAAATTTCTATTGTTTTTTGCAACTCATAACGCGAATTTATATTTTTGATGAAATTCTTATCGATATTTATTTTTTTGGCAATTATTTCTTGTTTGTTTCCAAATTCTCTCCTTTTTTTTAAATAAAAGAAAAAGCCAAACGCCAAATAAAATAAAAGTAAAATTTTGCAAAAATTTTGACAATAAATAGAGGTATTAGCCAAAAATCGATAAAAAAAATTAAATTTTTAGAAATATCGATAAGATTATTTGCGACATATGCAAAATAACTTGGATTTCAAATGTTTTCCGCTTCTTTTATTTATTAAATAAATTAACAAACTGGTCTTCGGAATTTAAGTCAACTCCAAATTTTCTATTAACATTCTAAAAGAAATGGACCCTTCATCAGAGTAAACGAATTGTTTTCCAATATTTTGAAAAATGATAAGGTTCTTAACAGTTCTTAACAGCTAACAATTAAATATCCGACTACGCATATCATAAAGAAAATATAGGCCTGGAGGACAAAATTTTTATTTAAAATATTCGTGAGCCATAAGGCACCCGCAAGGTGGAATCGAACCACTCCGGCGCTAACCGGCTACAAGTTTGAAGCCTGCAAAGTGAGAAAAAGATTCCAGATAAAATTCATATATTTCATGCAAATGTCGAAATTTTTCATTCTCATTGTGATTTTTTGAAAAAATGAATAATAGATTATTTGCTTTTATAATGAGAATGTATTATAGAAATTCAAAAACTGATGATAAACAATTTTTCCGAAAATATGTTTTTCTACGAATTTCATTTGAAATAAAAAATGACTAATTATTTCCTTAACAACTAATTAATTAGGAACTCAAAGGCATTAGGCATTATTATGAATGAATAGAAAAAAACAAGTGGCGAAATTTTTGATGGCAAATTTGGTTTTGTCGGGGCTATTCTCTGCATACTCGAGATTGCAGTCTAAGCAATCTCCACTAATTACGGAGAAAAGTAAAAGAAATCATGTGTACTAAAATGAAATCACTGTTTTCTGAACCTATAAACATTTGATCGAGTTGAGTCGATTGAAATTGTATGGATTCGATCTCAATTATTTGATGAGAACAAGAACGCCATTTAAAGTGAAATGTGGTATAGCGCTTATAGATTTACTTGCACATATGCCGCAAGAAATTTTCTGGAGAAAGGCTTTGCGAGTGGAACCAATCGTTCCGTTTTTTTTGATCAAAAAGTGCTTGGCGCAGTGTTTTAAACGAATCTGCTTCTATGTTTGCTGTGATAAAGGTGGTAAGAATAAGATAGGAAGATAATCCCTTACCGATTCACCTATTTTTCAGTGATTTTCTAAATTTTGAGGTGAATTTTTGATGCGGTCATAGAAAAAAGTTGCTGAACTAATATTATGATAGACGAAAAACTTTTTTAAAAATTATTTCTTAAGATAAATAATTGAAAACGAAAAAATTTTTAAGAATTATTTTATAAAATAAATAAATGAAAAGATTGGAAAAAAGAAAGAAAAATTGTCAAGTCTATGCATCTTTGCGTTTATTAAATATGTTCTTCATTGTTTGCGTCGGTAAATTTGACTTTTATAAAAAAAAATAATTGTGAAGAAATAAATTCGAAAATTTGTTAAGAATATTTCATTGCATTAAATGATTTTAATGGCCAATTATAAGACGACGAATTTTTATTAACCGATTACTTTGTAATAATTTTATTGTTTCTAATTAATACTTTAATAAATTTTTAAAAAACATTAAAAAATTACTAGAAAATTTTACGAAAAAACTTTGGTGACACTTGCAGTGATCCTAGCAGTTCCAGAATTTCGAACCTTCATTTGGAATTGTACATTCGCTCATTGGTTCGCTTTTTAACAATTTTATCAATAGAACTATCATTCTTCACAAGAAATTGCTCTTAAAATCAAAAGATCATCAAAGACACAAATATGAATGATCTTCATTTGTATTCGAATTTATTGTTTTCAATTCCCAGTTGATCAATTTCTTTTGGCCCTCTTTAACGATATTTGTTGCCCAATCGCGCTGCTTTACAGTATTGCTTTAGCAAGATGTACTCATTAATTTCTCAACCACCTAACTTGAATGTCAATTAAAGCTGAAAAAGTGGAGCAGCTAGCCTAGCTTCTTCTGTTCTAATTTCTATGCTAATTTTTTATGTCGAAAATTAATAGAAGACTAGTGCCTTCATTAAGTTCACTCAACCGGATATAGATTTGCTAGAGAATCGTTTGACGATAGAGTTACAGGTGGGTTACAACAATACCACCTGTATTTTTTAATGATTTGCGATTTTAGCTGGCATGAGCCCATGCACTTTCAAGATGATAATCTGAGCAATAACCTCGCCTGACTGGTCTCTAGTTATCTCACTGAGCGGAAATCACTAGCGAAAAATAACCAAAGAAAGATTTTCATTATTTTAACAAATTTTCGCTTATAATAGCGATTTTAATCAAAAAATCGTAGTATTCTCTCCAATTTCACCAACCAATAAACGAGAAACCATTGCTCAATCATTATTCCATTAATAAAAATTGTCCTTTTAGCTATCATTTCAAGTTTGCAACATAAAGTTAGCTTTACGCAGGAACGAGATATTTCTAGTTCTATAAGGTAGTTTGCTTAAATAACATAACATATAGCTACTTCAAATCGCTGTAACCATACATTTTGCACTTGTTCATTTTTTAAACTGCAAAACAGTAAAAAACCCGCTGAACTGGTTTTGCTATCCACATTTTTTTGCTTAAACATAAGTTGTAAGATTAAGTTGTAGGAATATGAAGAATTCTGTAAGAATGCAAAAGAAAATTAAAATATTTTTGTTCGTCATTATTAGCCATTAATATCAAGTATTATATATCATTATTATTATTAAAATAAGAACAACAAAAATTAATCATCAATAAAAAACATGGTACATTTGAGTGCAAAAAAATTCAAAGATAATTTTTATTTAAATGATAGTAAAAGATGGTACGAAAAATAATGATGGGAAACGACAAGAGTGATACAGCCATAGAGGAGCTTAGAGGCTTGAAAAAAGCTATGGCTTCATTCCCAGTGATCGATGGGTTTGGAAACATCTTGCAACTTTGGAGTCGGTAATGGCTTGGATTGTCTGAGGATGAAGAATAGAACCAATTGATGCATTCACTGCTTTTTAAATAAATAGCCAAAATTGTTCCTAATTGTTTTAATAAATCTTGCCTAAATTTATGCATTATATCTCTTCTTCCGCTTCGATTATCGTTTATATTTTTTATGTTTTTAAATGTATTTTTAGCGAATTACAGTGTCGCTATAGGAATAATTTAACAGAAAGTACCATGAAAATTTTCAAAAAAGAAAAACTTAAAAAATTGTTATGGAAGAACATCTGAAGATATATGAAACTCACCTTAAGACGTGGAATAGTTTTTTTTGTGGAGTTCGTTTGATAATAGAATTTGACAAGTAGAGAATACTGTGGAAAGAGGCGGCAAATTTCTTAATAAAAGGTGGAGCAAGAATCAGGCGTTCAGTTCATAATTGACGATAATTGGGTGTGTCAAACCAGATATTTATCACATTTACATAGGTTGTTTCATTCGAACAAGGTTGTAATGGCTGCTGATCATCAAAATTCCATCACTTTCACGAATATTATGGGGCAGGTATCGTGTTCCTTATCAAATTTCATGTTCAATAAGATGTTTTCTTGAAAAATGATTGATTATTTTTTAAGCAAAGAAAATTATGATAAGGAAGATAAGAAAATTAAAACAGTAACTCTCATGAGTAAAAATAAATTCATTTTTTTCCAAGGATGACAATGAATTGATATGAAATTCTGGTTGTTCCATTTTTAAAGATGACGGCTCCAACAATGAAATATTTTTAAAATCTTTTCCCAAAGATCGAGCGAATTTCATTCTCTCTTAATCCTCTCTTCCTTCTCCTATAGCTTCAATTGAGTATTGGAACATTTTATAATCTTGTTAAGAAAGAAACGGAAATATGAAATGAGCAGAGTATTCTAGCAAAAAAGCATCATAGCAATATTTAGGAAAAATCCTAACGAAATTTGGCTTAATAAAATTATTGCCAATGCTTCTTTATTAAATATAAAATTTAAAATTTTAAAGAGATAATAGATTTATAAAATAATTTTCGGCCATCTAGGCACCCAGTGGCATAGAAAATAGAGAGATAAGCAGAATTTTGTTTCTGTTGTATAGTTCTTGCTAAATCCCAAATTTTATCAATGACTTTTATTGCGAAAATGTTGAAAAATTAAAAGTTAATAATTTATAGGGTCGCATAAATCAACTAGGTGGTGTTTTTATCAATGGTCACCCTCTTCCACAGCACATTCGATTGAGAATTGTGGAAATGGCTTCAAGCGGAGTAAAGTTTGTCGTGCAATTTTTTAAGATTTATAATATTTTTAGAACGATAAAAATTTGGAATCAAGCAAAAGATCTTTTTTCATGCTTTTTTGGGATGCTTTTTTTCATATTTTTTCTCTTTTTTCTCTCAAAATTTCTAATCATTCATTGTTGCCAACGACTAAAACCTGAAATAATTGGCAGGCTTCAGATGCTTACTTAACAGATACCTAACTGCTGAATTTAAGATCATCTTTGAAGTAGTTTTTTGCTGCATTATTATTAATATTATTGAAATTTTTCAGACCATGTCATATCAGCAGGCAGTTACGTGTATCCCATGGATGTGTATCCAAAATTCTATACAAATATGCAGAAACTGGATCTGTTTCTCCTGGCCAAGTTAGAGAAAACTTGTTCATTGGTTCAAAACTGCTCTTTGTGCGCAGAACGAAAATCTAATGCAATATATAGCCAAAGATAAAATGAATCAATCGTAGTAGTTTTCTCCATAAATTTTTAAAGTAAAATAAGTATTGACCAAAAGCATCGAACTGATAACCAGTCATGCAATAAGAAGGGAAGCCTTATTCATTTCGTTAATCAAATTCAAAAAGAATTACGAAATACCACCCGTTTTCGTTATCGAAAGAAGCCGAGAATTGCATCTTCTTGAGATTGGTTTGCTTACTTGCCCGTTGAACATAGGCTGATTTAAATAAATAAAAATGAAAATGAAAATGGATAATGTGATTTATGAAAATCAAATTATTAAACTAACAGGATACTTTTCGTTAGAATGGTTAGAAGATTTTCCAATTTAGCGTTTCTTTTTTTGATTAAAGTATTTGTTCAAAATACTTGTAGATCATAGAAATTTAGTATTTTCCTTCGATATTTCCAACTGTTTTTTGTTTCTTTTTGCTTACTTTCGGCCAATCTATTAGACCAATCAATTTATTCCTGCCTGTTTGTTTTAGCCTTGAAAAGCCTTTGAAACTATTTAGATTGGCGGCAACTCGCGATCAAGAAAAGCGCTTGTAGCAGTTGAAAATCATATTATTCGATTAAGGAACAAATATCCTCTTATGAATGCCAATCAAATTCGTTTTTATTTAATTGAGAAAGGCATATGTTCAAAATCCAACGTTCCTACTGTATCTTCGATCCATAAGTATTTAAGGTGAAATTTCGGATAAACTGTAAACCAAGAGCACCAAGCTGATAAACAAATCAATTTTAAACAATTTGATCCATTTCAGCCTGGCATAGTATTCTATTTTTATTTCTACTAAAATTATCTCATTTATATAAAGGTAAATTTAAGTAATTTTTCCAAATCAGTTGAAAACTTAAGGTCAAATTTGAAACATTTGTCAGAAAATGGACCATCGAAGATTTCTTGCATTAAACATAGCATTGACGACATTCTTGGTGATAACAAAGGTTTGCCTTTTATGCCTCCACACTTATATAAGCTTAAAATCCAGTTCTTCTTCATATTTATGCAAAATTTGCATCAGTTCTGGTTTAGCTATCTAAACAAATTAATAAGCTGTCCTTTTACTCACTTCACTTCACTTCATTCACCTCACTTAAAGTAGAGGAATAGATTATCAGCACTCGCTTGAAGTTCAAATTTAATAAAACTTTCTGACAAGGGATATCCGACTGTTTTCATTGATTTTATTGGTTTTTTGTCTTGTCATAGGAAATATTAAAATTTTTGAAGTTATTTTAAAAATTCTTCAACAGAAAGGAAGTAAAGAAAATAGAAATAAGGGCATTAATGAAGAACAGTAACCATCGCCATAATTTTGCATCCTTAGAATTTTTTAATAAATAACTGACTTATTTTTTCTCTAATACAATATTTAGAATCGAGGTCTTCGTTTATGCTTTCTTTAGAATTTTTTTACAACACAATGGCTAATTATTTGCGATTAATTCGCTCAATTTCGTGCCAAAAAAAGATTTGAATGGCGAAAAATATTCGAAGCTATAATTAGCACATTGCAATATTACTATTTTTTCTTTACAAATTATTGGTTTCGAAAGAATCTGATTTGCAAATAACCATTTATAGATTCAAGTTCATTTGTGATTTAAAAAATTGAGAATCTATAGGCTTTTGTTGATTTACTCAGTGTAAAGAAGAATATTCTCAAAGAAGGATAGAGGATATTATAAATCATATATTTCGAAAGAAAAATTACTGCATTGAGCGATAATGATTAAGAGTAAGGAGAAATGACCGTAAGAATTGAATTTATCCAACCGTATCCCCACAATAATTATATTTTTGCTACCGAATGGTTTTCCTTAGAATGAACATGCCAAACAATATGATTAATTTCGATCACTATCAAAAAATAGAAATTAAAAGCAATCATGGAACAAGAAAATTATCTAATCTATCGCTTAGGTGATAATGGTGATAATAAAGATGATCTCTTAAGAAAATCTTTTAAGCCAAGCTTCTTTTCATTTTTTTGATATATTCCTAAGCGACGTTAATGATTATTAATTTTTCTCAGATCATAAATATTTACGAGAAATATACAACCAAAATTTTAACCAACAATTATTGCCCATATTTATTGCATTTTACTTCTCTAAATGAATTAATAAATATCGAAGGAAAAAAAACAAATATAAACGTTCTAATAAAATTTAAAAATTAAGACGAGGAATAGGTCATAATTGTTTGCAATTAAATGAGAGAATGCATGACTTTAGTCGAACCAAAGAACAGGTTTATCATTTTTCAAATTTCTATCCAATAAAAAAACGCTAACATTTTAAATGCCTAGCAGATTTCTTAATATAGCCTTAAGATTGAGTTTTGTAAGAATTTGTTTTTAACAATATATATTTTTTTTTCTGAGAGCACTCATCCTTACTAGTTTGACTCCTCTCGGATATTAAACGAATTTCACCATAGAATTACTTTTGCGATAAATATACAAGTGAATCACCAATATCATCAATTTTTGAGTGATAAGATTTTGAGTGATTATTCTTCCAGAAATAGAGCCTCAGGAATTCCGAAATGATCCACTGAACCATTCTATCCCGTATTTAACAATGCTAAGAATTAATTTAATAAACGAATTAATTTAAACTTATAATTTTTGTGCGAATTTATGATAATAAAATTTCATAAAAAATTTGGTAAGATTTGTCATAAGTAAATTTTATTTTCTGCTTCTTAGGACAATCTGGAAAATTCACTATATTGGAATTAGAATCATCAATCAAAATTAAGGTTAATTTTGGTTTTAACATTTACATGCCGCACTATTGTTAAACGAGCTGAACTAGAATCTTAGGAATTTGCCTTAGGAATACAAATTTCTTTCATTTCTTCACCTCAGGTATTTATGGAAATTGGTCTGACACATAGTAATTCGATACAACTATCAAAATTTCACAAATCATTATTTTCAAAACAATTTTATTCGAGCTCTGAAACTTGTGGAATAATTATTTATGAATGAATAATAATAATATTTCAATATTTATCTGTACAAACTCTTTCTATTTTTTGGGTTTTCTGAATTAATTAATTATTAGAAGGAGGCGATAAACGCGAAGATTTCGAAGAATGCCGAGAAAGTTTACCAAGTCGAATTCGTCGCAATCGTACGAATTTTTCGCAAGAACAACTAGCAATTTTAGAGGCTGCATTCAAATCAAATGCATATCCAGGTCAAGAACTGAGAGAGAAAATTTCCTTGGCTACAAAATTAGATGAGAGTAAAATACAGGTTAATTTTATTTTCTCTTTTTTAATTAAGCGAATCTGAGTGGATTCTGAGCGGGTCGCACAATGCTATTGGCATAAACGGTATATTTTCTCACTTATCATTAATATATTGTTAGGTATGGTTCAGCAATAGAAGAGCGAGATGCCGGAAATCGTTAGCAACTAATTCAGCAAATCCATTGTTGCTTAATCAAAGCAATTATATAATACCGCCTTTTCATAATATGGTACTCAATTTTTGGTTTTTTTGCGGTTTAGTTATAACCAAAAATTAAGAATATTTCTTAATAGCATATGTATTGCAAAGCAGCAGAGGTTTTCGTGCATTTTTCATTTCATCAAAAATATTAATGCTAATTAAAAATGACAGAAAATGCAGTTTAAATGACGCACCGAATAAATATGCGGAAAAAATGGAAATGTTTCTTAATGTTTCATTAGAAAGGTGGAAAATTTTGAGAAATTTTCAAATACACCTCATATAAATTGTTAATTTTGAAAAAATATTAAAAAGAAGCAATTATGATTTTAGTCAATGAATTTAAAGGAAAGAATTAAGCAGAACGATGCTATGTGTTGCTATTAAGCTACTGGGCTTTTAAAAAACTGTGTTCGAAAAAACGTTTGTATTGAAGATGGAAATATTCTTTAATCATGCTTTATCACAAATGTTTTAGTATTACAAACTGAAATTCGAAAACTGAAGAATATTAAATTGAAAACCATGCAATATTTAGTGCCAGCACGACTAGTTTACCAACAAAGTATAAAGAAATTTAAGGAAGTCCCAAATGAAATTCCGATAAAACACTGCTTATTAAAAAAATTATAATTTCGGGTGCGGAGGATTAAAATTTTTTTTAAGAACTCTTACCCTTATTCGTTAGACTCACTGGTTTGTCGCACTGAACAAATATGCCAGGAAATCCACTGGTGATAGAAGTGCAGGTGAGTCGCCACCATTGTCCTGATTTTTGCATGCTCTCATCGGCGCTGCGAATCGAGCAACAACCCACTGAAATATTTTACTCCCCATTATATATGCTTTAAGAAATATGAATAGGCATTGTTATGGTAATTAAGTAATTAAGGTAAAATTGAAATTAAGAAAATATAACAAGAAATACGAATATTAGCACTAGCTTATAATATTGAGAAAGCGATTTTGTAATTCAATATTATTGTCTTTTAATTATTAGAATACGAAGTAATACGATACATTCAACAAATAATAATTAAGGATTTAGACGATTTCCTTATTTATGGATATCAGCGATATTAGTTACTCCACTGCTACCAGAATTTTTGTGGGACCATCGCTTAAAAATTTCGCCATAGAAAATTGATAAATTTTGGGAATGAAGAATTTAAAATTCAGCCATCATTTTTTTATCATTTAATCACTATAATCATATTCTATTTTTCTGTTCATTTAGTTCATTTTTATCAAGATGAATTGATATTTTCTGGCATTTATAGAAAAAATAATCAAAAGTATTAAAATACCAAAAATTTAAAAATTTAAGTGAATGGCTGATAGTTATGAAGAGATGTTCAAAAAAGCATATGCATGAAATAATTTAGTTTATTTCAGATATCTTTTGGAGTGACTTATCAGAACAATCCTCCATTCTATTTCGTGCCACAACAATTCACTGCTCATGACTTCACAAATATATCGCTGCTTTTCCACTCCGAATAAATACTGGATAACTTGGTCAACGCTGTATTCTGCCATTTCTAATATCTCGTTATGCAACAAAATGCAACATAAGCCTATTTAACAGAATCGAATATGTTTTTATATGCTTTTTTCTTGGTTGCTGGAAGTGAACCGATGGCTGTTCTTAAACCGATTAGTCTTAGCGAGCCCTTGAATGCAACTAGATGTGACAAAAATTCTCAGAACAAAAAAAACTACTTGGCAAATAATTTCTACCATTAAATATGATTTTTTATGCTCACAATAATTTTATTTTTATTAATGTTTTGCTAAAAATTTTGCTTATAAATTTATATAAAAATTATGCCATATTGCTGTATATATATATATATATATATATGTAATTGTATGCACTAAATAAGTTTTTTAAAAGCTTTTGGTTCTTATTTTGGATCCAAGCTGCAACCTGGAGTTATTCGTTCATTTAGGATAGAGCTTTATTGCAGATTATGCCAACGTTTGAATAATAAGATACCGAATTGCCAATATTAATAATTGCCACGAACTACCCAGTGATGCATAATTAGCTATTATAATCAGTAAGCTTACTTTCGGGATTGATGGAGAACAACCATTTAGAAACCGTTTTCCTGCGATCATTTTTTAAAAAATAAGCAAATTCATTTTTGAAGAAAAAGAATAAAATTAGGCAAATGTTTTTGCCAACATTTTTAATGAACACTTGAGAAGAATTTCTAAATCATTGTTTCTGTATGTACTGGCGAAATTTTCCTAATTGCTCGTTTTTTGTCGGTAATGATGTTAATTATTAGATTGATGGGCGTGAAAATATTTATTGACAAGTGCTGAGTGGGTGATCTCAAGTGACCGTGAAATAAATGAAAGGAAAGCGAAGGTGCAAAACGCGGTACAAAACGGTTTAGTGCCTGAGGCGTTAAAGCACTTTACGCTTCGAAAACAATTTCCTTTCTAATATATCATAGAATACTGAAACAATTCATGTTATCTTATTTAGCACGTTTATAGAGAGGATTTCGTTAAAATAATTCTAACTTCTTTGATCAACCAAAACTTTGGTCTTTTTATTGATTGGTTGTCTTCAGAATGAATAATGCATGCAAAAATGCCAAATTCTGGTGATAACTGATAAATGATTAAAAAATTCGATTCTCCTAAAAGTTTAAATAAATTTGCTTTCTCTAGAACGTTTGAAATTTTACTGATCTGAAAATTTAATGATAAATGATAAATTTAAGCCTTAACCGATAAAGCTTTCTGAAAACCATTTGCAGATCTATTGCAAAAAATTTTTTTTGAATAAATATTTCTCTTAATCGAAAACCAATAAAATTAAAATTTTCTTAAAATAAGTGCGCAGAGAGAAATTACCAAAAAGTATTTTCAAGAGAAATTCTATGATTTATTTCAACACAAAATTGTGATGAAAAAAAATTCATTGAATAAATCAATAAATATCAAATGAATTTTCGCCTTTTTCGCTTTTTTTTCCAAAAAATTTTTCAGGGAAAATCACTAAATTATTAACGAATAATCAGTGAATTATCATAGTAAATAATTAATGCGTTAGGGATCAAACAAAAATGAAAATATTCCGTGAATAGTCAAAAAAATTGGAAATTATCAGCCATAAAATTGTTTTGTTTTGCGAAAAATTATTTTTTTATTTTTATCATTTTATTTTTATTATTTATTTATAATTTATGAGGAAATTCCTTGCAAAATAATATGAAATATTATATAAAATAAGTTCTTCAACAATTTACGCCATGCTAACTTGGCTCATTTCACTGACAACTAGAAAAAATCTCCAAGGTTGTATACACTCCTTTTTATATTTTGCGGATATTGATAGACCCCACATAGGTGAAGTTCTCCTCTAATCGTAAGTCCGTTCAGTTCTTGATTGACCCCTTTCTCTTTTCATCTATCAAGTAGGACTTCATGAACCGCTTTCGCTTTTCGTTCATCAAAATAGGACTTCATGAGTAACATGTTTTAGAATTATTTAATCCAATTTAATTTCCTTGCTTGCTTAACTCAGGTGTTTTGAAAAAATATTCATAAATCAAGTTTCCCTAATAAATATTCGATTATTCGTTTAATTAGATATGCTAAGACCTGTTTGATTAAAGGAAATTTATCTTTCCTCCTCTGAAGAGATTGCATTGCTATGATAAATAATTTTTCAACGTTAATTATCATTTATAGCAATTTGATTTGTCCATTACTAATCAGTTTTTTTAGCGGCCCAATTCTTGTCCAATTCTTGTTAATTTACTCGAAAAAACCAATTTACAAAAAAAGAAAATATTTTCTGAAAATTTACTATCGAAGCGAAATTTTGAAATTTTCAAAATTCGTACAAAATTACTAATTAATTTTTCCCAAACCACTTTTTTCCTTGTTTTCTCTTTTTGAATTCCAATCCTGTAAATTTGCATTTTGGAAAATTTTATTATGGGTTCGTTGAGTAAATTTAAGTGATATTTACCAATAACCAAACGTTAGAAATCGCTGAAAGAGCTAAAAGCTTCAGCCTGGAATTGAAAATTGAAACTAATCGTTTGAAAGTGCCTATGCAATTGGTGCATGCATCTCAAAGATTTATGTTTCAGAGCACCATACTCCCAAAAATTTTCTTCGATAACCCCCGATGATAAATTGCACGAATAGAAAATTTTCCGACTTAACAAACTATTGTAAACGGATCGAAGTTTATGAAAGAAAAAATATTAGTTCTTTTTTAGCTATAAATTATCTCGTTCCACTTCGCTAGCAAATTATTTATTACAAATGTTCGACGATAATATTTTATCGGATTTTCGTGTAATTAGTTTCTTTTTTTTTGCCCAACTTTTTAAATTATATTTATTAGCTTTTAATATTTTTATTTGGAATAACTTTCAGAATTTTATTCTTTTTTAGGTCTCTTCGACCATACATAGTTATTTAAAAGTGCTTTCTTGATGTTATTGAATATATAATAATAATTTTTGATAACATTTCCTAAGCGGCGTTCCACAGTTGATTGCTATAAGCCATAAACGGTCATATTTTTCATTATCATCATTTTATTAAGAGCGACATAAAAAGACATGTTAGATCCTGTCGAATGTCTCAGATCTTGGCATAATTCTGGATTTTTTTTCAAGCACTCATCACTACTGGTCAAGCTCGTTCCGCTGGCGCATCCGACTGTATAAATATGAGCTTGGCGATACAAGTGAGTCGCTAGCATCACCCGGAATAGTTACGGGTGAAAATCTTAATGTGGATGACACTGAAAATCTTGACTTCATTGTACTAAAAAATCCTCAAGAATAGTAATTTCATTTAATTTTATTTTTGGCCCAAAAATAAAACTGAAAAATGTTTTAATTTAAACACAAATTTTATATCTAATATTTTTTAAAATATATCCAAAGTACTCGTTCTGCCTTTTCTTGGGCATTATGCAACGTGTTTCCTTAGATATCGTAAGTCAAATAAATCAACTGAAGGACTCCAGAACTACTTTGTTCATCCTCTCTATTCTAACAGCCGTCTTAATTATAAAGTAAATTTCAATACTGCATACCACAGATACCCAGATTCGACAAATTAAATAATAGTTTATTTGATATAAAATATTATATGGTTGTGGCAAAATAGACTGGAATAAAATAGATTGCTCCAAATATTATAATTTTAAGCTAAATTAACGCAACAAACCTAATTTTTATTAAGAATTTGAAAATTAAAATTATTATTATATAAATTTACGCTAATAACATGATTTTTTCATTCGTACCATTAATTGCCAGAATAAGCTGTCGAATGGCGTAGTTCACTCTTAGTCATAAAAGATTAAAATTAAAATTAAAAGATTAAAATAAAAAAATTAAAAAATATTTATCATATCATAATATCATCTTTAATCAAAAGTTTCACTTTAAGCATGGAGTTTGAAATCTTCATCTTCAGCAAGTATTT